GTGGTTCGGCAACTTGGCTGGCGTGGTAACAGAAGATCCGAATGAAGTTGCAGAGGCCTAGGAATGATCGAATAGAGGACTTCGACGTTAAGTCGTCCCAATCCCAATCCAGGATGGCAGCTACTTTGGCAGGGTCCACTCGTACTCCTTTTCCGGTCTCCAGAATCATACCCAGGTAGTCGACTTCGGTCACGTTGAAAGAGGACTTCTTGATATCGCCTTGGAGTCCGGCCTTATGAAGTCGATAGATGATCTCCTCAACGTGTTCGAAGTGTTCCTCGTCATCGCCCTCTGAATAGGCCAGAACGTCATCAGCATAGGCACTAGCAAAGAGGTCTAGTAACTCGTTGAGTTGTGCATTGATAAAGGCTTGGAACCAAGCTGGCCCGACTTTCAGCCCGAAGGGCAGGACTTTCCATTGGAAGGTGCCTTGGCGAGTGGTAAAGGCGGTAAGATACCTTGAACCGGGGTCCATCAGCAATCGATTGAAGGCACGGATGATGTCGATTTTGGTCAGGTGCTTGGCTCGCCCACAGCGGCTGATGGTGCCTTGTACGTCGGGGGCTAACACTTGTCGACCCTTAATGAAGTCGTTGACCCAGCGGTAATCCACGCAGAAACGGTGCTCTTCTGAATGGGGTTTAGGCACGAACAAGGTAGGAGCAGGTTTATCGGTCATGCACCGTTCAATGAACCCGATCTTTAGTAGTTCGTCGGTGGTCTCTTTTTCGAGTCCCAAGAAAGCGAAGGGCGTAGGGTAGCGGGACGGTCTTCCTTCTAGCGGCTTACTGAGCTCAAGAACCACATCAAAGCCAGGGCGACTGGGAGGCAGTTGCGTTGAGGCTTTCTTCGAGAAGAATCCTTCCAGGTGAGCCAACTCGCGTGGTAGCTTGGCGCGCACTTTGTTAATATGCTCGGAATCCTCTCCTGCCGGGAACGGGATATGCTTTCCGTCGAAGGTCTTGTTCCAAGCCTTGGGGTCGACGGTGAGAGCGTTGAGGCTTATGGTGGGCTGATTAGAGACTCCATCTAATGGTATGGCAGTTTGGGGCATCTTCTGCTTTTTCCATCTCTCTTGGCGAGGGTCAGTCTCAATTGCGCGGAGGCAAGCAATCATCTCGGGGCTGTGCTTCTGTTCCGTTGCGACCGCTGGAGTCGCAGCGGCTACCACTGTCTGTGTGTTTGTCCTGCGCCAGGGATTTTGCAGAATCTTTTGCACTTTCAGCTTGCGTTCCTCGGCCTCCATTAGTCGATCTCGGCGGACTACCTCTGACTGGGCATTTATATCAATAGTGCTGGTGCTCGGATCAACAAGGATGCTGGGCGAGTATTGTGCTAGGGCAGGAGTATCGTCGGGCCAGCGAAGAGTACGCGAGGCGGGGTGTAGCCATACGTTCTGCTTGGTAAACCAATCCTGTCCTATAAAGACATCATTGGCGGTCGGGATGATAATGAACTTCTGACGGGGGAAACGTCTGCCGTCGATCTCGAGAGTGACCCGAACTTGATGGGTGGCGCGAGCGGCGGCGGCCCCGTTGAAATCACTAAGTACTAGCGGTTTAGGCAAGAGTTCCATCTTTGCCCCGACCTTATCAACGAGCTTCTTGGCCATCTTCGGGGTCATAGAAAGGGAAATATCGGCTCCAGTATCACAAAGAGCGTGAGTCTTAAGACCAATGCCATCGACTAACAGGTTGACCCGTTTGGTGAATGTATTTGATTTTGGTGATCTGCCGACTTTAGCTAATTGTGGTATATGGGCTATCGAGGAGACTTCCGATAGCCGAACTAGTTTTCCGACTCTAACGATCCTGAAGATTCCGACGAAGTGTCGGCAACAGCGGTCCCGTCACGGTCAGAGCTTCCTTCATGATCGAAGCTGGCGAGGAGACTGGCCATAACCTTACGATCAGGACATTTGCGAGCTTGGTGTCCTGGCTTCTTGCACACAAAGCAGAGGTCGGCTGCCTTCAGGGTTTCCACCTCCTTCTCTGACAGCCGAGGGTTGGCTGGAGTTGCCGAGACCTCCTTCTTATATTCCCTTGAGCGGCGGCGAGGTTGGCGGTTCTCCTTTAAGGGTCGCTCCTTTGAGGGTCTCTCCTTCGACTCCTTGAAGGTCTTGCTTTGCTCGTAGGCTCTCTTCTTGGCCAGGGCTGAGTTGGCTACCTTGACCACAAACGATTCGTAGGAGATATCAGGGCTCTCGGAGGCGTCGAAAAGTTCAACGTTCAGGTTGGCCGGGATATGCTCGTACAACGTGGTCTTTCGGTCCGCCTTTGCGATATTTGCCTTATCGGCCAGGCTATTGATCTTACCGATAAACTGGTGAATGTCCATCTGTTTATCGCGGGGGTCGTACATCAGGTTACGTAGCTCCTCCCGAGCTTTCGATCCCTGGTTACGGTCGTGGTAGACTGCCTGTAGGCTAGCGACCATCTCGGCCACACTAGCGAATGGGTATTCGGTTGATTGGTATCGGCTAGAGAGGAGGTCGTTGGCGGGTCCTCTAGTTGCGGCGTGGAGGACGGCCATACGGCTACGTTCGGTCTTGAAGGTAGTATTGTCTTCCTCGAACTTGTCTGCTAGGGTGATGACCCAATGGTCGAATTCGTCCTTGTTACCCTGGAAAATACCGGGGTCGACTCCGACTTTGCGGGACTTTGGGTTGTAATCAGGGTTCGGGGCTCTCTGATCGGTGCCGTAGGCTTTGAACGCAGGGTACGCGGCGAATCCGGTTGGGGTGAAACGCTCGCCTCCGAAGGCGCTGTTGTCGGGCGTGATCCCGCGCTCGTCACGCGCTGGAGAGATCAAACGGGCAGTGCTCTCCAGTTGAGTAATGCGTGACAGGGCAGCGGCGAGCTGGGCTTGCATGTCCTGTTGGTCGTTACTTTGAAGCATATTGTCTTTTACAACGAGGTCTTCGGGTGCGGGGTCGTAGTATTCGGACTCGTCGCGTTCGATGCTCTGCAGGGGTTCGATTGACTTCTGATTTGCAGAGACTTCTTCTTGTGGGCGCGCAGGCTTGTCTTGCTCTGGGCGCTTGGTGCTCGTGACAGGCTCGTTTAGCTCTGGGTCAGTGGAGGCTTCTTGGGGTGTAGCGGGCTTGTCTGGCTCTGGGCTACCAGGCGCGACGCTGACTTCGTCGTCGGATTCGTTCGAGGACGCTGGTCGGTCTTCAGCCGGGCTTCCTTGCTCGGTTGCTGTTGCCTGTCGTTGAGATTTTCGCGTCGCTGGGCCGTATTCGATTTTCTTCGGCATTGACGATCTCGGGTCTGGTGGTTCTGCGGCCTAGTTTTCCGTCGTGCGCAGCCGACGACGTGAGTGCAAATGAATGCGGAGGATTTTAAAAGATATCTTTTAATTGCTTCGCCAGCAATAAAATGAAGAGTTTAGAATTGTGTCACGACCAGGGCAAGGCATTGAGGTGAACTCAGTCCATTGGGTACTATCGACGAAGATTCTAAACTAAGGAGGGAAAGAAGGAAAAGTCCAATAACGCGTCGTGTGCGCGCGAACAAGTTTGCATCTATCAGTGGGGTAGGTGGGGCCTCGAGGAGGCTTCTGATAGGTCTGTGGGTTCTGGGCGGCTCTGGCCGCTTGAGGGCCAGTTTGGTGGACGGGTCCTCACAGTATCTACCCTTCGTACGAGATGCTGTATGAAGATCGAAATGGCGAATCCAATCCAGGCCTTTCTCATTGGTAGTCCAGCCGTTATCGATTACACCGATATACCAGGTAGCCGGAAGATTGCACTCTTGATACCAGCTCTCTTGGTGATATTTCCCTTTTAAAAGGATGAATGGTGGGATAGCCCAGCCTTGAGCATTTACCCCTTGGATAACCGTAGCCCACTCACGATTACCAGGCTGGACTTTTTTGGCTTTCCCATAGCCATCGGAGGTAGTAACAACCATACCAGTAGTAATCATGCCCATCATAAACCCGGTCTCGTCAAAGTTGTATATATCTTCGTCAAGGATTCCGTATTTGGCTTAGTATTATGCACAAGTGCAAACCACTCGCGAATAACTTTCGGATCTCCGCATTTGGCCCTTTGATAATCCTATCTACGCGTAAAACGCGTCCGGAGTTCTGGTTGGCGTTTGACGAAGTTGTGAGCCCAGAGCTTGCCGACAGGGGGCGCGTCGCGTTCGCGTAGCAGTCGGTTGGCCATATCTTCCACAAAACAAAGCCGAGGAGGAAATGCGCGTACACATAGCTCAGATATATACTGAACAATTGTATGATCCTCTAGATCTGTGGGTTTTCGCGAATTGGCTGGAATATCGCGTCGTGAAGGCCGACCGGCGCGTCGATAGCGAAGTGTTGTTTCGGGAACATTATACAGATTGGCTGTGGAAAGAACATTGGGGTTTTTACTATTTTGGATTGATTTGAAAGCTAGGACTACCCTAGCTTCTTTTGAAGGGGTAGCCATAGCTTGTTGTGGTAGAATTGAGGATCAAAGATGAAGGGTCGCGTCGCGGGGAATATTCGCCGCTCGCTTATATTCGCCGCTCGCTTATAAAATACGTTATACTTACTATCTTCTAGGCTTCGACCATCCACAAGGTCGGAGCAATACAAAGCATCATCAATATAACGTACTACTAGATATCTTAATCCTACAACAAATAGCTCGATTTTCTTAGATTATTACCGCCGCTTAGGCCACATCCTAGTGGCTTAGCAGTGCACCCCCGACCCACTTCGCTTATTTTCAGTACATGCGTGAGCCGATCGCAGAACGCCAAGTCACCTATGCTTCGAATGCGAGCTCAGCATATGCCGAACACTTGAAAATATAAAAACATATCATTACTCAAAGTATGACTCAGTTTGCACTCTATCTTGCTTTCTTTAACAGTTTAGACCAATTAATTTATCGTACATCTTGCTTTAATTGACCGTTTATACTACTTTATTTGCCCTACACCGAGTTATATATATTTTTATTGGGGCTGCTCAGCATATGCTATGTGCTGACTGAAAAGCTCAACATGGGTCAAACTCTATGACCCATATTGAGCTGTGACCTGCCACATTGCATGACACTGGCCATCTGACCTTGCCGAGACTGACGAGGGATCTTAAAGAGGCCCAGTTCAACATCGCCCCGTATTTTAAGTCCCTCAAGGCGATTCAGCTCGCTCGCAGTGTCTATCAAAAGCTTTCAGGGGCGACGGCATCGCTTCGCGTTACCGACCACCCCCTGCATGATGCCCGTTGGATTCCAAATGCCATTTTGTCCTCGGCAGCGGTGGAACTAGACTTGCCGCGTGCCTACCGCTTTGCCTGTATTGCCTTCTTCGAATCCGGTTACGACCTCGACCCAACGGAATTCACAGAAGTGATTGCGATTTCGAGTCGAAATAGCCTCTATGTCTCCCAGGTCCTCCTTGGCGACCCCTTCTTTGGCGGCGATATGAACGAGGTTCGCCACGTCATGGAAAATGTCGGCAAGACAGGTGTTGTCATGATGGTTGCACCACTGGCACCAAGGGTTCGCGCTGCCGAGCTCAACAGATGGAAGCAGGTCTCGCACGTCCGCTTCAACCTAAAGCGGGAAAATTGCTTCCAAGCCACCTTCCTCCACCTTTCTTTTACCGACTTTGAGATGCCGTTCGATATTGGTCAAAGGGGGTCCATCGACAGAGCCATCCACGTGCGAGTGGTCGAGACAGTCATTTCCGTCTACGATCGAGGGGACTGGGTTGCCGACTTGGACGTCCTTATCCTCTATCAGCCGACACTCTATGGGAACAGGTTCATACGAAGACTCGACCAGTCGACGCGGCCGAAGTCTTTGACTTCCCCGGACCCAGCGTGCTGGATTGGGACTAACCCATTGGCGCATCTCCGCCCACAGCCTCTGACATCAATTGATAACTGGGAAGAACTGCTCAACCTTCCTGAAGATATGGGCCTATGCTACGTTGGCGTCGTCCGCGCACATGATAACTGGATTGCGCGTCTCGCTACAGCCTGTGTTGCCGCCCAGCGAGGGTTTCGCACTGTCATCCTTCCAACGACAGACGTATGCTAGAAATGCCGTGCCTCGCAAAGGTGGAAGTGGGTTCTGGGTGACGACAAAGAAGGAGACGGCCGAGATGACAGCCTAATTAGTGCTGCCGTTTCAAGGGACAGATGGTATGAAACGACTGACCCCAGCCGACATGAAGACTCGGCAACACCAACTTGGCAGGAAGTGAACGATGAGTTCGGTGATGACGATTCGGATACTTCCGGCGACTCGGACGACTCCCTAGACTCCACTAAGACGGTGATAGACGACGATGTCTTCTCAGCCTCTCCTCATATTTTCATATGCTAATTAGGGCAGTACTAAGTACCAGTGCGGATATAGTGGTCAGATCAAGCTTTTACTTTCAGCAGCAGCTCGATAATAAACAGACGTGACGTGGGGGATATCGATGCCGTATGGGTGGAGCTACTCTCTAAACGTGCGTAAATTACGCGTAGTAAAGCGGTGAAAGACACCACAACACCAAAAACAACAACAATATCAGGATCAATGGAAGTGCTCGAGCTGTAGGCTCGATAGGTTGGTGAGCTTCGCAGAGTAAAGGCACAGAGTTCCATAGCCGGGAAAGTCAAAATAAAACAAAGAAAAAGGCACTGCCGCGTGCGCTGGTCTGGGGATCTCAATTCATGTTAAAAAGACGTAATATTTCTTCCTCAAGATCAAGGCCCGCGGGGAAGATGAAGGCCCTCTCTCTGATCTGAGGGGAAGGGAGGCGGGCTACCCACCTTATACGAGGTGGGTAAGCCAAGAAAAAAGAAAAAAGAAGTACACTAGATTATTTTAGGTAAGGGTGTAAACAACCCCCTTGTTGCCTAGCCCCCTGAACCCCTGATCAATAGTACTTTAGCCTCGCTTAATATGATAACATCTCGTCTGTTAATTTGTTGTGTCTTGGTAGTCGAATTTAGCATAATGCGAGACTTTTCAGGTTATTAGGTGTCACGACCAGGGCAAGGCATTGAGGTGAACTCAGTCCATTGGGTGCTATCGACGAAGATTCTAAACTGAGGAAGGGAAGAAGGAAAAGTCCAACGACGCGTCGCGTGCTCGCGAATAAGTTTTCATCTATCAGTGGGGTAGGTGGGGCCTCGAGGCGGCTTCTGATAGGCCCGGGGTTCTGGGCGGCTCTGGCTGCTTGAGGGCCAGTTTGGTGGACGGGTCCTCACATTAGGTTACCTACATGTCTTGGCCGTTGTTAGTGTGGATCAACGCTAGTCAACGCGCCAGTCCAAAGTGGAGTAGCCTAGGTAGAAAGCACTTCTTGTAGTCCTAATAAGCATGGCATTCTCCACTTCTGCCTTTCTTCGCGAATACTACCTTACCTAGGACACCTCTAGAATCATTTGTTCCAAAAAAAAAAAAACCTGCCGCGTTTACAATAATCCCAACATGATTACAAAATACCTACTCAACTGTTGCCCTGGAAACTTATAGGGGATAGAATCCAAGTGATCTGGATGTAACCTGATTGAGATTGACCAACGTAACCTCTAAGAAACGTTGAGCTAGGCTGTGCATGCTGTCTTCGTCACCAAGTCTTGGCAATGAGGCAACGCGACATTAAGGGCACGACTGCCCAGTGGCTTTGACAGGTCCCCCCAGCTCTCGGCCGTCCTCCTCCCAGCGGACCACGATGGCTTCTTCCGTCCAGCGGATTATGAAATCAACATGATAGCCTTTCCGTCCAGCGGAATAGAACAGCAAAGAATAAAGACGAGCGCAAAAAAAACAAACAAAGACGAGAACCATCCCCCCTTTCTGCCTTGCTTCTCTACCCAGCCTCCTACCAAGACAATGTGCGGCTTCGAAAGAGAACAGGAGCCCGTTACTAGCAAAAGGCTTGTCCAAAGGGCCTAGAATTTTCTGCCCGCTCACTCTGAGAGCCGATTCGGTTTCTCCTTGGCAGTAAGCAGTACTCTGGGACTGGGTCGAATTAGACCCACTGGATCTCGCAATGGTCGTCATCGCCGCAGTAGGCATGGTGGCAGGCCACATGGCCGGCCGCAGTCGTAGTCCCGCGACATTGGGTGGCGGTAGGGTTGTCGTTGGCGTCAAAGACAACCTCGTTTGTCACCTGACAAGCGCCGCAGATGTAATAAATCGTTGCCGGGGCGCCGCTAGAGCGCGACGACTGCGAAGCCCCAGAACTCGAGTTCTTCCGGCTGGTAGAGCCCGATGATGATCCGTTATCAGCCATGGCTATAGTTGTGGGGGTTTCGACGGAAGGTTGGGAACAGAGTAAGCTATCAAAGTCGGGGAATTGACGAAGAAGAGGGACTGATTGTTATTGTTGGATGTGTGCGCGTGTATGTGTTCTGGGTGACCGTGGCAGTGAATGGTTGTGGGAAGACCCAATTCCAGCTCTTATACACTTGGGAAAAAAACCGAAGAAGGGCGCGTTGGTTCCCTCCTTCTCGTCATCATGGCCAACCAACATTTGAACGGTTGGTTGGCCTTTGGTTAGTCCGGCACCCATGTCTGCTACGATTCAATGATGCATCGATCGAAACACCGCTCTCGGTGGCAGCAACGGGACGAAACAGAAACACCAACGGCATGTTGGCCACAGCCGCCCCGCCGCCAACTCATCCTCGGATTTAGAAGCCCGACAGCTTGTGGTGTTCTTGGTAGATGGCCGGCCACGACGCCGCTTCCTGGGGCCGGCTTGGAAACGACCGACGCTGTCACTGCAATTCTTAGGCTCCCAATTTCTTGTTCTCTGGACGTTTCGAAAGTCCGAGGACTCATCCAGAATCTGGCGAGCGGGCGTGGCACTGGTCTCAAGACATCGGTTCTAGCGGTGTCTGAGGTTTGGTTAGGGACTTGGGGGCTTGCCCTTGACACGCTTGAACTTGACTCGGAGTCTGCTGTCGTTTCACCCCAGCCGCCGCCGCCGGCCGGCAGGGACAAAAGGAGCTCGAGGTAGACGGCCTCTCGAGGATGACGTCGAGTTTCAGGTCGGCTCGGACTTGGAATTGGCGGCCATTAATTGATGTCGGAAACCGAGATAGGCCTTCGCCGAACATCTAGTGCCACAGAGTCGAGAGGATTTTAGCTTCTCTAGGAGCCTAGTAATGAGCATTTTGGGGCGGAGCAAAGGTGGCGGGTATTGTTGGATGAATCGATGTTTTCACGATCCATGGGAGGAAGTGAATACCTATACGCACCCCTCGATCGGCGGGTTTGGCGACGGATAATCAATGTCTTCACACACCCCTAACATATATATGATCCTTGATGAATCGCCATCGGCAGTACTGAGGCGTGGCAACGCTAGTCTGAATTCGTATAGATAAGCGACCTGACCAGTCAGGAAGGGGTAATTAAATAGGTGCCTAGTCAACGGTGGTTTTGGCAGGTAGCTAGCTCCTTCGGCTAAATAGGCACCGAGGGAAGACGCCTGGCAAGGAGTCAATATATCATCCTCCGGCTTTGCCGGGGAAATAATTTGAGGCCTTCTCTGTCTAGCCACGTGCATAGTGTGAGATTTTGCACGCCCAGCGGCCGGCCCCTCGGCCGCCCAACCCACAGAGCTGGGTGTTCGAGATAATTATACAAGCATAATTACATAATTACCACTCACCCGAATATTTAAAGCCCCTTCAACCGCTCTCCTTACCTACTCTTCATTAAAGCCACCACCCAATCTTACAGCTTTACTCGAATTCGACTCTCGCACCACCACCACAGACACTACCGGAACCAAGCCACTTCTCTATTCTCTCCCATCACCATGAAAACCGTCAGCGAACTTGCCCTAGAACTGGCCCATATCAGGGCATTGGGTGCGACCTCGACGACCAATGAAGACACTAAGCGGCACCTGAAGGACTATAGTCGTGTCCATAAAGAATACATCAATGCCAAAGCCGCTGCCAAGGCTGCCAAACTTGCTGCTCCTGGTACGGCAGCAACCAAGAAATGATCAGTTCTAATGTGGGCGACGCTGGCACCGTGGGAACCAGACAGTAGGCCAAACCCAAGACCACAGTGGTTCCTCCCGGCCACGACTTGTTGCACGCGAGCGAGAGTGGGAATGGGAGATTTTCGGAGAGGCCGTGGCGGATGCACGCTGGCCGTGCTTGTTCTCTCTTTCTGTTTGGCGGGGTGCGGTTCCCTCCAGCATGCTGGTCATGCTGGTCTATTGCCTCTGGCGGGTCATTCATTGGTAGGAGAGTTCGGGATGGGTGAATAGAAGTGTGTTGCAGAGGGCTCGTTTGGGGAAATTGGTGGAATTGCGTAGGTAGCTAGCTTGTGGGATAGAAAACTGAAAGAGAGCACTCCTTATTTCTCTTGAATGAAACTGCTTCCGTCCGCGTGTACCTAGGTATATTGACGCGCAATGAGTGATCATTTGCGCTGTTGATATTGTGGTAAAGTAAAGCATGATAAGTGACTGTCGTTACATACACCCTACCCACAAATAAAAAACTACCATGGTGGCTGCCGTCAGCTGACGGCTTTTTTATTAAAATCTGGGGAAGTGGGCCTAACCGCCGGCCCGCCCAGCACGGATAGGCAATGCTTAATCGTGTACCCATGGATTACTATTCACCCCTTGTAATTTCCTCCCAGTTGCTATTCTTGGCTACTATTATAGATGGGTACTCAACACACACACACACACACACACACACACTCACACTCACTCACACACTCACTCACACTCACACAATGTTTACCAAGAAAATGCATCAACCTCGAACACACGTTTACCAAGAAAATCCATCAACCTCGAACACACGTTTACCAGGAAAATGCATCCACCTCGAGCTCAAAGACAGTCTTGCCCCGTCTCCCCGCGGCCACGGCAGCAGCCCGCGCATCGTCGCAGAGGCTGCCCGGCCCGCAGACGACAAGACCCACCCGAGCCCACCCGGCGCTCTCCTCCTCGGCAAGCAGCGCATCCAAGTCGAACCGCGATCCGATCCTGATATCTTTGGTCGCCACTCGTCCCAGGTCAACCGCATCCACCAGGCCGCGCCCTGTCTCCTTGACGCTCCAGACCAGCTTCAGGTTCAGGTGGCTGTGCACCCACGGCAGCGCGCCAGTGATGCCAATGCCACCTGCAATGATGAGCACCCGGTCGCACCGCAGAACCTCACGAGTAGACCCACTGCTCGCGTACGGGCCGTCTAGAAGGGTGAGCAGACTCGAGTTCGGCTTCAAGTAGCTTGTCAAGCCTGCCGACTTCCTGACGAATAGCGTGATCCCGGTAGCAACACCAGCCTCATCAGTCGGCGGCGGCGTTGTTGATGACGCGTGCGAGGTCGCAAGCTGTTTCTCCTCGTCGCCCGCATGAGGCTCGGGCTTGGCGGCCCTGGGGACGGGGACAACCACCCCCTGCAGAAAGCTAGTGGGCACGACCGAGAACGGGTGATTCTCCCAGGGCGTCCACGGGCGGGCCGTCGGGAAGTAGGCAAACACGTGCCTGGCCGGCTCCGCGCCCCAGCGCACGCCGGGAAGGTCGACGCGCAGGTAACCGCCGCCGAGCTCAGTGACGCGCGCCCGCTGCAGGCCCCATCTCAAAATTCTGCCAACCCTGACGAGGCGGTCAAAGAACCACACAGCGGCCGCAAAGTACAGCCACAGCTCGTAGCCCAACGTATTGTGCTTCGCGATGGTCTTGCCTAGGTACGCATACCAGCCGATGAGGTGATACCAGCTGCCAACCATGACGAGCACAGCCAGGACGACGTGGGAGATGAGGAACAGCTCATACTGCGGGCGGCGGATGTACAGGCCACTGAAGACATTTAGGGCGACGGTCAGCACGGTTGCGACGATGCCCCAGTACCACCAGGGTGTTTCCTCGAAGGCGCGGTAGATGCGCAGGGCCGTGATGGAGTGAACGATGGCGTAGACCATGAACAGGCGCGCAACCCAGCGGTGCAGGAGCACAAAGGTCGAGTGCGGCCAGTTGCTGAGCCAGAGCAGCACATTGTTGCGCGACGAGAAGAGCAGCAGCACCGGCATGAGCACGAAAGCGAAGGCGCCGGTTCGGATGCAAATGTAGTTAACCACCTCCTTGTACTGCGTGAGGTAGAAGGCGTTGGGTTCCAGCGATTTATAGTCCACCGCGCTCAGCAAGACGTTGAGGATGACGAAGACGGCGAGGTAGAGGGATTGGCCGATGCTAGGGACGTTGCCGAGGAGGAAGGGGAGCGGACGGGTGTGGAAAGTGCCGAAGATGGATGGATACACAAGGTAAGGGTTTATCTAGCATAGTCAGAGATGATGGCCTTCGATGTCTGTCATGGTGGACTTGGAGGGGCCAACATACCCGGTCTAAAATGGCTTGCGCGAATGGCAGGACGTGGACCCAGGTCAGTACGACGGGGAGACCAATGGCGACGACGAGAATAATGATGCTGGTCTTGGTTTAGCAACGCTGGGGGAGGCCGTCGCGCATGGCAGAGGGAAGAGCAGCTAACCCAAATTTGGACTCGTCAACCTCCTCGTTATACAAGCCAGTCATACCGTTCCAGCTGCTCAGGTACGAGGCTTCGACGATGAGCGAGGTCTGGTTGAGCAGAACGTCCTTGAACGTCAGCTGGTACGTCGGTGGCTTGGGGTTGACTCTGTCCAAGGCGACCGAGTAGGCCCATTTGGGAGGCACCGTCTTGAGCCCGCTGAGGCCTTGCTGCCAATAGGCCTCGAGCTTGGCGATGCTCTCGTCGGGACACTTGGTGTTGAGGCACCACGCGGCCGACGTCAAGAACGGCGCGTCGCTCGCATAGCAGCTCGGGGACGTGGCCGGCGTCAGCGGATCGAAGGGCTTCTTGGCTGCCTCAAAGTTGGAGCAGTTGAGCAGGTAAGGCCGGAAGGCCTGGAGACACGACTGAGCACAAACAGGGTCGTAAGGATAGTTGCCATAGCCGACAAGGAAGTCCTCGGCGAGGGCACCGCTGCCAAGCACGAGAAGCAATCGTCGCGTTAGAGTCGCGGCTCTCATGATGGCGGCCTATCAGCTATTTGGGAGCGAAGAATCTACCGGGGAAACCGAAAGCTGCGCAGGAGACGAGAACCGCGAGCCGAGAGACTGGGAAAGACGATGCGTTGCAGGCTGACGATGGCGATGGCCTATTATTATGGCTGCAATGCATGTCCGGACTCCGCGCGCTCAAAAGTAGGCCCCGGCTCCGAGGAGCGGCCCCCCTGGAAGCAATACTGCGTACTCGGTAAGGTCGCTAGGCAGAGTTGCAAACCGTCGAGGGGGGTTCCGGCAGCGATTGGCTGACGCTGTTGGGACGGTAGTCGGATGGAGGCTTGGCATGCATGAACTGGGTGCATATTGGCCAAAAAGGCTCTGTTGCATTCGACGAAGCTGTCAGGTTGCCGGTGGCGTCGGCACGGGGCCTTCACCGCCGAACCACAACCCTCCAAAGCCAATGGACCCGGCCGGTCGGTGCGGGGTTGGCATCGACATGGAGGAGCAGTGATCCCAGCTGAGCGTTTCGAAAGGTCAGCAGTTTCCAGCCTTCCGGAAAGGGTGGCCAGTGGCTTGCCGGTGTCCGAGCCATTCATTGAGCCTCATGAAAAGAGAATGGCGGGGGATCCGGGGGGGGGGAAGCGAGGAAAGGAGAGAAGATAATCCGTAAGGGGAAAAAGACAAGAACAGAGACGAAGAGGCGGAGAGAAATGGAAATGGGGGGAGGAAGAAGAAAAAGGAGAAGAAAAAGAAAAAGGAAAAGGAAAAGGAGGAAAAGAAAAAGAAGAAGCAAAGAAAAAGAAGAAGCAAAGAAAAAGAAGAAGCAAAGAAAAAGAAGAAGCAAAAGATGAAATGCGGAAACACCCCGTTCGAGGTCAACTAGGGATGCATCAAGGTTTCAGAGTGTTCATGTAGAAGGCCCCAAGCCCCTCCCTGTCTGAGGGTGCAAGTGGGTGGCAGCCTCTTAATCTTGTCCGAATAGTAATCGGACAATTACGAGAGGGCGCGCGGCTTGCACTAGAACGCTTCAGAACCTTCCCTGTCCAACAGGCAAGCACACCCCAGCTGAGGCCATCCTTGTCACCGGAAGGCCTGGAGTGGCCCGATAGGCCAGTTGGTGCCGGAAGCCTAGCTCATTACCTCAATGCGCTCCGGCAGGCACACCCGGTGACCGGTGTGCCAATGGAAGCTGCCGCTTTGGGCAAGGCAGTGGGGTTTTGCGCGAGCGCTCCGTCCAGCCCGGCCAATCGCTACCTCCGCAGGAGAGATGAAGCCCGCAATGTGGCGTCGCTCCTGCCATTGCCAAAATTTCCAACTCCAGGGTTTCGGGATCCACGCGGGGAAGAGTTCCTTCGCCAGCGCGCCGAAAGGGGTCGACCAACGGTAGCCTACTTTAGTCTGCTTCTTGCCCTCCTGTCTGCTAGCCCGTTCAATCCTCCTCACCTAGCATGACAACAATGTGTCAACCCTACTTCCTATCAATGACATGGCGAACGAGGGAGCAGACCCCAAACTCGGCGAAGGCCCGCGGGCCATGGCCATCTTAGTGCCATTGTTCGCGCTCGCGCTTGCCGTCTACGCCCTGCGCATCTGGACCAGAGCTAGGCCAAAGTACCGCCTCAACGCGTCGGACTATACCGTGTCGATTGCTGTCGTGGGTCCCCCTCCTCCCGCTATCCCCTTCCCCTGTCATGCCACCCGCTATGCTACCTAACTATTACGCGCTTGCGGGCTGACCCGTCCCCGCACGTCCCAGCTAGCCGAGACGATCGTGCTCGTCCTGACGGCCGTCGCCGTGGCACGTGGCTACGGGCTGCCCAAGAAGCTGCTTTCACCCGACAACGCCGAGACCGTGGGCCGGACCACCTTTGCCGTGTACATGATTGCGCTGTGGGCAGCGGCATTCGCGCGCATTTCCGTCTCGTGCCTGCTGCTCAACATTGCCCAGGAACGGGCTTGGAGGATCGTGCTCTGGGGCTTCATCGTCATCCAGGCCCTCACCCTCGCCGCCTTCGACATCATTGAGCTGGTCCAATGCAGCCCCATCCGTGCCATGTGGGCTGTCGTCCCCAACGCGCGCTGCCTGAACCCGGACAAAGTGTGGATCGTCGTCTGTTTTTTTGCAGGTGAGTTTGACGGCTGCGAGCTCCCCAGACAACACAGGCAGTGGCGGCTGACTCTCTTGTCCCCTTCCCTCCCTAGGCATCGGCACAGCGGGCGACGTCGTGTGCGCAGTCCTGCCCATGCTCATCATCTGGCGCATGAGCCGCTCCGTGGTCGAAAAGATCCTCGTGTCCATCCTGCTGGGACTGGGCCTGCTGGCTGGCATCGGCGGCGTGCAGAAGTTGGTCATCTTGAAGTCGTGGGATCCGTTCTCGCCCAACGCAAACCGCGACATAATGAACGCATTCATTTGGTATGCCAAACCCCCCCCACCCCCCCCTTCCCAAAATCCCCAACCCCAACCCCAACCCCAACTCCCCCTCCCCCTCCCTACCTAAGCACGAAGCCAAACTGACATTGGTGGCATGGTAGGATCCGCGTCGAGGAGATCACGCTTATCATCGGGGCGTGCGCCCCGCCGCTCAAGTCCTTCATCGAGCGACTCCTCCACCGTCGATTTGGCTTTCCCCAATTTGACCCAGCAGAAAGGGGGTTGGACGAGGTGTATACAATGCCCGACTCGTCGTCTAAGCCACAGCGCCTTCTGTGGGATGGAAGCTTTCAGGGGTCGACGTCCGCCGCATCATCGGCGAGATAGTCGTGGGATATAGCATAGTCGGACTGGTGCTGTCAAGCACCCACCCATTCTTGTTCGTTTCTTGTATTGTTATGGGTTTTACAAGGTATTATGGAGCGGGTATAGGGTATTATGGAGCGGGGGACATTACGGTCATTTTACGGTACTGGTAATCATTGTTGGATTCGTCTGTATTTCATGAAGAAAGTATGCGAGGGCAAGTAGGGAATGCATGTGTGTGTGTTGCTTTCTATGGAAGCTAAGCTATCTACGCGTGGGCGGAGAATCTATGTGCGTGGGATAGGCTGGATCTGCAGGGGCCAACCAGTGCCCCGGGCTAGGCCTGGGCCTAGCACAGAAAGTGTTTTCGGACTGTATTAGGGAAAAGTTATATTTGCACACTGCGCGAAGACACTATCCCATTAAACATCGGATTTTTATATCGAGAAGGGACTCTTGGCTATATAGTTAAAATTGAAAATAGTCAGGATGAGGCCAATTATGAAACAACTCAAAGAACCGGTAGAATGAGAACCGCGGAATGGGAGAAAGCCGTCAGCTAAACCCGCACTTGGAGCATGAACATTGATCGAATATGGATAATGTTGGCGGCCGCCAAGGCACTTGCAGCGGCAGCCAATGGCGCCGGGCGTCTCCGGGGAGTAATCGCCGGTGCCGAGGGCCGTGGTGCTGGGCAGCTGGCCGCCAGGGGCGTTGCCCGGGCACTGGAAGAACGGCTCGTGATGGTAGCCAATGTCTGCAAAGTGGTGAACCTGGCTGGGCTCGAGCAGCAGGTGCACCGCGAGACTCTGCACGAGCGCGTCCCCAAACTATTTGCGCTCACGTGTCAGCAGACAACATCTCGAACAAGTTTGACAGCGCAGGGTGGACCAAGACGTATTATTACCCGTTCGTGATAGAAACCCCTGTGGCGGTCGAGACGCCGGGACAGTTCCCAGTACAGCGTGCCACGGAAAAAGTCCAGATCACCAATCTCGAAATTTGACCATAGTGACACAGATTCCACTTGTCGCCAGTCCTGTCGTGGTGCTCGAGGCGCAGCCAGCCGTGGATCCGCCTGATGGGCCAAGGCCACAAGGATGTTTCCAACATGGCCTTCCACATGGCCGTCGCGGGCAGATTTTTGCATACGAGGAAGTCGTCGACGGTGCGGAACAGGTTCGACCACGTGTTAGGCTCTTCCTGCTCTTCCTAGAGGGCAATGGTGGAGCCGTACGTCTTCCCGTGGTGTGCCATCTAGGCAAACAGGTCGTAGAATATGGCACACGTGAACGAAACGCCGGGCTCTAGACGCCAGTACCACTTGTACTGTTGCAGGGGTTCCAGGTCGTAGACTTTCTTTGCCATGCATGGCCGCTTGGTCAGCACTTGGTCTCTCTAAATGTATATAGAACACTAATTCAGTATTGATATTGAATTTGGGCACCCTGACTAGGTAGGAAATGTTGGCTTTTTGCCCTGCTTCACTTCTTCAACTTTGCACCACCAGTCCACTACCAACAACTGCTAAATACCAGCGCCTCTTCCCACCCTCATATTCCGTCAGGTCTCATATTCAGTCAGGTCACATGGGCCTCTGGAGATTTGTGATCAAAGGTTTGCTTGCCATCTTATGTTCGACATAAGATTATTCGGCCAGTTTTCACCTGACGGCCGGCGTTTGCTGAGAAAAGGATGGCTGAAGACGATGAAAGCTGGGAGGACATTGACGTCAGATTGAAATTGAACGTAGATTTCAAAATCTTCTATATCGCCAAGCCTAGGCGATCAAGAGTTCTATGGCGGCGCATGCTTCGATAATCGTGGGGCCGGATGTAACTCAAGACCGGCTGGGGCTGCAGGGCGAAGCTGGCTTTGCTGTTTTGAGCGCCCGGACCGACCCATCCGCATTTTTTGCCCGGTCAGGAGGGATCAGGGGCACTGGATCGGGCTTCAACGCGGGCCAACAGCCCCAAGATCCGGGGAAGTGGGTTCGGCTGCCGGCCCGCCCAGACTGAAGGCTGCCATCGCTGCAACGCCACGACGGAGAGTCCGCCTCCATGGCTGCCTTCTTCCCTGCTTCCCGGCTAGTATTGCAACCTGCCCGATGCAGCCGTCGCCTTGGTTTTCCACGTCCGATGTCGACATTGGGCTAGTGGATGGACTATCCAAGCACCCATATAATGATGAGCTGCCAGAAATTCGGCAGACTTTGCTTGGCAGCTTCCTTGACTTCATCTCTGTCCTGGTTTCTCGTTGCTCAGCCAAGGACTTGGGATTCGAGGGCCCGCCTCCCGAGTGTCAAACAACAGACCAAGTCTCGCTAGTCAAACAACAGACCAAGTCTCGCCAGTCAAACAACGCTGCAGTCCACCGCCATGAAGGAAATCACCCGTCTCGCGGCCCTGTCACTAGCCGCCAGCCAGGTCTCGGCCCACTACATCTTCCAGCAGCTGTCCATTGGCTCGACCAAATACGCCGTCGAAAAGTACATCCGAGCAAACTCAAATTTCAACCAGCCGGTTGTCGAACTAAACTCGACCGATCTGAGATGCAACGTGGGCGCAAACGGCAAGGTCACCGACACCGTCACGGTAAAGGCGGGCGACAAGTTCACCTTTGACCTCGACACGCCCGTCTATCACCAAGGCCCCGTCTCACTGTTGGTGCCACCTCGCCCCAGTAGCTAGTCACTGAACAAGGCATCTAACACAGACCAGGTACATGTCCAAGGCTCCGGGTGCCGCCTCAGACTATGACGGAAGCGGGGGCTGGTTCAAGATCTATGACTGGGGTGAGTTGTTTGCTCTTCCGGCGGCGCCGCAGGGAATGGGGTTTGCTGACAGAAAACAGGCCCCAGCTTCGGCGGCGGATCAGCAACATGGAACTTGGCCGGTGAGACAATCACAATCCCGCGTCGCACTCTCCACCATTGTCGTTTGCTCACCAACTTGCAGGATCCTACTCGTACAACATTCCGTCCTGCCTCGCAAACGGGGACTACCTTCTTCGCATCCAGTCCCTTGCCATCCACAACCCGTGGCCGGCCGGAATCCCGCAGTTCTACGTGTCGTGCGCACAAATCACGGTGACGGGGGGAGGAAGCGCAGCCCCGGGCCCGACCGTTCTCATCCCCGGCGCCTTCAAAGACACGGACCCAGGCTACACGGTGAATGTGGGTCACGGACAGCTACCAACCACAAAACAAGCCATGCTACAGATGCACTGACGCGCTGGGCACAGATCTACTCCAACTTCAACAACTACACAGTACCGGGGCCCGCCGTTTGGAGCTGCGGAAGTTCCGGCAGCAACCCGGTCACGACGCCAGGGGCGACAACCGCCCAGCCCTCGACCTCGACCTCGACCTCGACCTCGACCGCCAAGCCCGCCACCACTTCCAGCAGCACGACGCTGTCGACATCGACGCGCTCTGCGGCGCCTAGCACGACCACGACACCTGTGACGTGCGTCGTCGCCAAGTACGGCCAGTGCGGCGGCAGCGGATACATTGGGTGCACTGTGTGTGCGAGCGGCTCGAGCTGCTCCGTGTCTAATGCGTATTACTCCCAGTGTCTCTGAGTTTGAGCTGCGCGCTGCTGTATTAGTGGTGGGGTTTTCTGCATAGATATGCAGCGTTGGCACGATGTATATGATGAGGTATCCGGGGAGTTGCCTGTTGTGAGGCAAATATGTTGTGAGGCAAATATGTTGTGAGACAAATATGTTGTGAGGCAAATATGTTGTGAAGCAAATACGGGAATGTTGATTGGCCCGCCTCGTTGCAGATACGAGAATTTTTTATCGGGCAAGCTGTTTCCTCTCTGCCAACATTACTGTAGCCTCCCGGCGCACATGTGTATGATGATGCTGGTGATTTGGAGGGAGCTGTGCCAAGACTATGGCAACTGATGAAGATGGAGTTGTTTGATACTGCGTATGACGCTTGAGATTTGAACGCTTCGTTTGCAATGATCCAATTCGGCTCACGGCGCATCGACTAGCTGCGAATTGGGCTGTGTGTTAATTGATCCGCGTGGCTGGGATGCTGCCGACTTCCCGCACACGGGCCCGTCAGCAAACAACAACCACATCCTCGATTCGGGCGCCGTGGACGAAGCTAGAGAGGAGAGGAAGACGGAGAGAGGACAGACACCACTCATGGCCGAGACAATCCTAGTCACGGCCATGACCTATCACACTGTGGTTTCGTTAAGGGTGGACGTTCTAAGAGCTGCTTGCTCCCCGGGAAGTCGCCCTTTTCGACCGAGAATGGGCCTTTCGGGGAACCAAGACCGGCCTCGAGAGCTATATCAGCCAAGCAACCCATATCGACCCTAAGGTGCTACGCGATAGTGCCGAAATCTAGAAGTAGCTCGTCTCGGCGAGGATGTCCTGGGCGGCGTCTCGGGAGACCATACGAATCGAAGATGCAGCATACTGATCAGGCTCGCTTTACCCTCGGCTCACCTTCGGCCTACCAGTCGCGCAAAGTTGATAAGTTTTCTAATAAAGTCCGGATTAGGCGTAGAGCCTGAGCAGGGGGTGAGGCAGAGTGAGCGTCTGCCTGAGGCGAGGTGAGTTTAGGTTTTGGCGCGGGCGCGGTGGCGATCCACTGCATCGGTCACTGGTACTCGTCCGACACCCACCTGGGGCCGGCCGATGCAGACTTGGGGGGGTGGACGGTGCGGGCAAGGTCGACGGTCGCGAGCAGGTCGAACGGGAGAGGCCGGGGTGCCGGGGGGAGACCGATGCTGCTATCGGCCAGGACGCTAAAGGCGGGCATAAAAGCTGTCGAACCGGCTAGGATCACCCCAGTCACGACGAATGCCTCGACATCCTGGTGGAGCGACGGATAATACGGCTTCAGTTCCTAGGGCGGCGCGTGCTGGCGTTGGTGCCGCACGCCGTGCGTAGCCCACAGCGGCACGAGTCTGTTGAGCTCTCGCCACGTCTCACACACCGCCCAGTGCAGCGCTTCTGCCACCTTGACATCGCTGTTCCCGTTAATGTTGCAGAGTTGAGTGATGCTTTGCCGTATTCCAGCCGACACGAGAAAAACTAGAGACTGAACGTTAGCCAATGTCATTTGTTCCATCTTTCTTGCTCTTTCTGCTCAACGACCACAATACCCGGCCTCCGACCCTCATTCTTCACTGCGGATAACAGGTAGCGGCAAGGGTGTGGGGAACACGACATGTTCTGTGCTACCACACCGACCCCGTGTTGTTTTGAAAGCACAACAAAAGTAGCTACTAAGTGGCACAACAAATAGTTCTCGTAGTGAGTAGAGAATAGACCACCCCCATGGGGGCGGGTGGCGTAATTAGTCGGAAAAGAATTGCGGGGTATCATAATAGCACGCACGCACATATAAACGGCTCGAGGCTAGGCGCCCGAGCCTCAAGCAAGGTGATTTGCACCAAGACCTCACCTTGTGGCTTTTTTTCTTCCTCTTTTTTTCTTTGCCCCTAATCAAAGCCGAGTTCGTTTCGTTGTACAAACACGACTGTGCCTGGATGTGCCTGGATGTGCCTGCTTGGCGCCTTCGTGGAATTACTCATCCCCACCGCCGATCACTGCTCTCAACGGCCCCCAGGCTAGGCAGGCAGGCAAGCAAGTGTGGCATAAGAACTGCTGCCAGTCACTCCTCGTGCCGGCAGAGCACTGGAAATCTTGGTCTGGACTTTCCAAGCTACAACATAGACTTTTCTTCCGTGACCACGAGTCCATGACCGGATATGACTCCTTCACCTTGGTCACGACATCAGCTGATATTTCTCGGCAGGGGCTGGATAGCCGACAGGACACATCACGACACGGCGTGGAGGCAGTGGCTCGGACCCAACAGTAGCCCGTCGGCCCCTTTTTGCAGCAAATAGAGCCAGTCTCGATTCGCGACGTCTTTTGGCACTAGTGCCTGACTAAAATATGTATTAGAAACAATTAGATCACATCACCAACTACTATACACGCATCGGTAACCCTCGACTCGCAATGGAACTCGCACTGTGCGGCGGACTCGGCAGACCCCTCGGCGCGAGGTGCTCCATGTACATGTCATCGGGGCGCGGCGGCCGCTCTGGGGGCGCCGGCGGAGGTAGCAAGGCCTTGGGAAAAGCGCGGCCCTCGAGATCGAGGTCGCCGCGCCACTGCTGCTGGACCGTGGCCTGGAACTCGTCCTCAAGCCGGTTCTTGTCGCTGTATACGGCAGTACGTCGCCAGCTCGACCCGCTGAACACGTAGGCGACCACCTTCATGAAATACAGAATCGCCAGCGTCATGAAGAAGGTGTAGCCCAGACCGGACACGGCGTCGGCTATTTGGATCCTGTTGGGCAACCTGGTCAGCCCCTGATGGTCGCCACCAACGACACTGCTCTCAAGATGACTTACCCGACACGCTGTCCCTTGGTGTATTCGGGATGCGGCATGGTCGAGTGGCCGTCAAGACCAATCCACCCCGGGCTACGACAAGGTTAGTCGACGACACGACGAGGAGCAAGCGGGGGAGGTGCACATACTCGGCGAAGATACCCGTGAGTATCATGCCAACGACACCACCGCCAGAATGCACGGCGAATATCTGGAGCGGGTCGTGGCGGAGGAAGAGCTCGGTCTCCTTCTTGAGCAAGTTGACGGCTAGAGCAGCGACGAAGCCGAATACTGGAGCACTCCAGACGGGGACCTGAGTCTCTGTTAGAAAGGAGCACAAAAGGCTAGCACCAAACAGACGAAGAGCAGGGGGTCTCACATATCCGGCAGCGGGGGTGATGGCGACGAGCCCAGCGATGGCACCGTCACAGAAATACCACACCGAGAGGCGGTCAAAGGCCTGTCTTGCCATGGTTTCGTGGCGCTCGGCCTCGTCGGGCGTACCGTCCGAGTGCGGTTCGTTGTCGGGCACACCCTTCATGACCCAGATCCACAACATGCCGGCCGAGCCACCCGAGCACGCGGCGACGTGGGTGGCAGTCCAGGCCGAGACGGCGCGGAGATTGCCTTGCAGGGCAGAGCCGCCGTTGAAGCCGGCCCACCCGAACCACAGAAGCGCTGTGCCGAGGACGACGAAGTTGATGTTGTAGGGGAAGTTTTCCTGCCCGCTGCCACCCGAGTGAGGGGGCGTGTGCTCGGCGGGCGGGTCGGCATCGGGAACGTAGACACGGCCGCAGGTGCAGAGCAAGAAGAGGATGCGCAGAACGCTCCACACGGCATACCAAATGTGGCTGAGCCTGTGGCCGACGCGCCTTTTGGCCTCGGCGAGGAAGGCCCAGAGGCTTCCGCGAGACTCGATGGAGCAAAATACGGCAAAAGCCGCGACCGTGGTCCCGCTTACGATGTGCACCGGCGTGCCGCCGGCAAAGTCGAGACTGCCGAGCTCCCTCAGCCAGCCCTTGCTGCTCCACGACCAGCGCGCTACGGGGTCGTAGACGAGCAGGGCCCATAGGCTGATGAAGATTATGAAGCGGCGAGGCCGGGCGCGGTGCATGGTACCACCGCACACGACTGCGGCTCTGTGTCAAGGGTCAGCACCATGTGCCACAGGATATCTGAAGGGGGTTGGGGGTGCACCCACGTGAAGGAGGCAAACATGCCCTCGTACAACGAAAACAGCAGCTCCGGAATGACGGCCGAAGTATCGGGACCGTCGCCGACGCTGACGGGCCCGGCGAGCACATGTCTGAGGGCGCCGGCGCGGCTCTCTCCGCCCCACCAATTTGACGAGATGGAGCCTTCCGAGAAGGTGACCAGATAGCCCCAGAGAACCCACTAGAGCAACAAACGGTGCGTCAGTCAGTCAACAATGCGCCACGCAGCAAGAGCACGGGAAGGAGCACAGCCACGGCAAAGCACCGTTGGTTGGGCGCGAGTGCTCAGTGCAACTCGACCGACGTACCTGCAGGCCGACGAAGGCGGCTGTGATCATGGGCAGGCGGAAGAGAGTCAGGGCAAAGGAACGGTTGCCCAGGCCCGAGTAGATGAGGGATAGCGAGGGGATCATGATGAAGACGAGGGCCGACGAAATCATGACCCAGACGATGTCGGCGCCCTGCGGCGCGGGTTAGCAAGTCGTTCCCGATAGCAACACAACATTCCAAAATGCGCGTCGGGATGCGAGCGCTGCCGGCTTGCTTACCTTGTAGTACAGCTCGGGGTGCTTCAGCACGTCGGCGTAGGCGACGGGGACGGCCTCGGCGGTCGGGGCCGGCTGGACCATAGCGATGATGACCGACTCCATGATGACCGAAACTCACTCGCACGCACCTTCAGTGCAACGGAAAGGAAGGGCGGACAGCTCGATGACACGGCGACGCGGCAACGCGGCGACTCTCCTCTCTGGCGATGGAGTGCGAGTTGAGAGCGGGAGATGGATCTGACCAGACCTGACCATGGCAGAAAGGGATGGGGACCGGGGCGGCGACATGCATTTGGAGGTGAGCAGGATTTTGAGCTCGAGCTCGAGCTCGGCATCTTGCCGCAAGCGCAAGCGCAAGCTCGGTCGCCTCCCGCTCGGCGATCACTCTGTCATCCAGGGTTGTGTTTGTGGGCTGGCTCACCATACCAACCTAACCTAACCTTGCCATCCCTACCACACCATGCCAGGTCTGGTCAGGCACGTCCAGCGCAGTACCATTGGCGTTTGGCACCGCCCATTGCTGCGTACCTACCGCATCTAGCGTACGAGCTAGCCAGGGCAGATGCGCCGACCGACCTGGGCGGTGCCAAATGCTGCACCACTGCAGTTCCAGGTCCGAGACTGTGCCGCCGGCCTGTCATCCTCCAGGAAGACGTGAACGGAATTGCAGTGTTGGGCAAGACCTGGCTTGTGGCCGACTGTCACTGTGGAGTGGGAACCAAGTCCTCGTTGGGGCCTAGCGGCGGCGCAGCCCAAGCACAAATCCAAGAAAAAGGGAAAAAAAACCCCCTCCCCCCGAGGTCCAAAGAAACCCTGCCACCGAGCGTAATCTTTGGGTGCCATCCCCTCTCAATCATCTGTTTACTTTGCTACTTTGGCAAGCCGGCCAGCGGCACGGAAACCAATACTCGCCATGTTCGCCTCGGCGTCGTCAACCAAGTACGGATAGGTAGGTTGCGGTGCGGATGCAGACGGAACGCAGAATCACCTGCACAGAATCGGCCAAGTTAATAAGTTGTCAGCCAGATCAGCCAGATGTGTGCATGACTGCGAGTGCACCTGCCTTACTTTGAGGCCAGCTTCAACTCAAAGTTCCATCCAATTACCCGTTTAGGTAAGGCAACAGGTAACGTCTGGTGTTGCACACTGTAGCGCCTGCCTCCAGGGAGTGCTTCGCGACCCCCCGGGGCAAGCGCGACCGCCCATGTCCTAGGCAACAGGCACGGACCCGCACCGCACTGGCCAGCACGCACTGTGCAGCACGGCCCCTGCCTGGGCTGGCTCCAAATCCCCCGCCAGTCAGGGAAATCGCTCTTATCAGCACCTGCTGCACAAGTCCAGCGTCCCCTCCCCCCACTGCCCGTGCTGAGCCGCGAACTCGCCGCGCACTTGAACGAGCGGCGAGACTGAGCTGCCAACCTGAACCTAACCTGGCTTGGCCCTTGCAAATACGGGCGGCCAACCTGTACCGGACCTGTTGCTCGCCGCCTGAAAGCGAGCAACAACAAGCAGCCAAACCAACCCAGTTGGCTCTGGCTCGCTAGATAGTTTCCATCCCAATAATTCACACCATTTGATTGGATTGGGACCCGAAATGGAACTTCCATAGCTCGGTGGCACGGTCCAATACTCTGTCGGCTGCTTTTGCTTTCCAATGCAATGCCACTACGCTGCTGCACGCACGCGCTCGCACACTCCGATTCCCCTCGCCGCCCTGTGTGAAGGTTGGCCGTTCGTTGTTCGCGAGCGAAAGCTTGGGCCCTGTTCTGGACAACCCCGCCCTGTCTCCGATGGAAAGATTGGAAAGACTGGAACGGACTTTGAATCCGTCTTCCACCGCGTCCACCCAATCCGTTGTCCAACGCTGACGGTACTAAGGTTAAGGTACCTTACCTACCCCAGCGGCCCCCCCGGATTTCAGAATTCAGGTTGGCTCCCATGCATGTCTGTGTGTCATGAAAATTGAAGCAGCAGCACCTCTGCTGGCTGGCTTTCCACGGTCTTGAGCTACACTCTCATTGCCCATACGGATACGGATACCACCGGCGGCACACCGACCACCAACACCCGACATTGACACTTTGCCGTGTCCGTGTCCGTGGAATTCGAGGCAGCCTGCCCCGGTCTCCTCGCTGAGACCGTTGTCGCTGCTGGCCATTCCGCTGGCTCTGCCCGCCCGATGCCGGGGGCTGCGCGAGCCGGGCATTACCACGACCATCGCACTCGCAGGTCAGAGGGCTCTTCGGCCCTCACGGCCACCTTCCCGGTCGACACCATGTCGGCGCCGGTGAAGCTGCGGCTCATCACGAGCTCGCTCCCGGCAACCGCCTCTGGCCGCCTCGTCCTCGGCCCCGCCCCCGACGACAAGGACAAGGACAAAGACGGGGACAGATACAAGGAAGAATCACCGCAGGTGTCGCCCCAGTCTGACACCTTCTCCCACACGGGCTCGTCGCAGGTCTCGCCCGTCTCCTTCGCCAGCAACCCCTGGGGTTCCTACCCCCCGCCCGAGACGGACACCACGTCGCCTGGCACCCAGGCCTTCTCGGGCGAGTCCGGCTCCTTTTCCAACACGTCCTGGCCGGCATATCCTCCAGCCTACCAGACAGAAAAGAGCCAGCGGCGAGAGACTTACTATTCCATTGCATCCGAGGCCCCGACTTGGCCCCCTCCTAACGACCACGACGTGCTGTCGCCTCTCTCAGCCACGACGACTACAATCACCACCATCACCGCCGCCACCCCGACCACGGCCCAGGAGATTATCTTTCTCCAGGAAGTTCCAGATGCCATCTGCCAGAGGATCCGCATTTGCTCGCCCGGCGGCGATGAGACGCCGACGGCGGCGACCAGCGGCTTGATCCCCCACTGGACACCGGATCGCATCCGAGTCCTGAGCGCCATCTCCCCCATGATCCGCGCCCATGTCGAGGAGCTCCGCCAGCGGTCGGATCGCTGGTGGCTGCCGCTCGTAGAGCTCGGGGACGGCTTCGACAGCGGGGCGGCGCTGCGGGTGCTCGACGCCATCACGTCGTCGTCCCTATCTCTACCCCCGGCCGGCACGCAGCAGCAGTCTCAGAACTGGCGCACTAACGAGCGCGTGTCGGTGCTGTGTCGCAACTGCAACGTCATGTGGTTCTTCGGCGTCGTGCCCAGGCTGCTGCCCGCGTGCCAGAGCTGGCAGGTTGTTGATGACGACGACAAGCACCAAGTGATCGCTTCGCGCAATATGCCTCGCCAGTCAGCTGCGAGCTCCTCCCGTCGCTGGTCACAGGCGAGCCTGTCCTCGCAGGCGTCCGCGCCCAAGTGGTGCTGGCACTCGGAGCCCGGACACAGCGCCCGCTTGACCTGCCTCCAGATTGCCAACATTGCCCTGGTGCTCCAGTGGGACGAGGTCTTCCGGCGAGAGATCAAGACGGTGGTGTGGGATTGGACCGGCACGTCGCAGGCCGTGCTGCACACACCCGTGGCACGGCTCAGGACGCATGGCGACTACGGACTTGACGGTGAGTTTCTTTTCTATCCGCTCTGTGTGGTCCGCGTTCTCGTGACTTGGAAACAACCCTGACACTACACTTTAGCGCGGCGCAAGCTGGAAAAGGAAAAGATCCTACTGCACATGCGAAACTACCTGCACAGGCACAAGGACTCGCACGCGACGAGCGTCAAGCGGATCAATCGAGAATTCAAGATGCACACGATGGAGCTGGTACCGGACAGCTTCCTGCACCCGAGCATTTACAGCATGCTGCGCGAGATCGAGGGGGCCATCCTCAAGGAGAAGCGGGCAGTGTCGGGTGCCCAGGCCGGACGCCCGCCCCCGCGCACCGTCAACCCCAACCGCCCCACGACGCCCGGCCTGCTCGGCAAAATCAAAGGCATGGAGTCGAGTGTCGAATACATGTTCTCGGGTGGCAAGCCTCACCGCGACTTTGTTATCGGCTTCCTGGCCGACGTGCACGAGTATGTGGCCCAGCAGCAGGAGGAGCTGGCACAGGACATTTGGAGGTGGCGCCACACAGAGCTGGCGAGATGGGAACCCGACAAGCGTTAAAAGAAGGTTGAGTCCGCGTATTTGTGCTTCGGTGGGTGGGTGGCGTATGCAGTGTCATGTTTCTGGGGTTCCGGTTGCTCTTGATCGTCGGGGAACGGAAAGCGTCTTTGTGCAGATTGATTGCCTATATTATTACCATGTACGAATAGTTTCCTTTTTTTTCTCTTCCCTTTCTAGTTCTACTTTTTCGTATAGCTCGTTTCTGTACTGTGTGGCGGAAATAATTGGATCAAAGTTTTGGCACAATCTGGTTGTCTTGTTGCATGCACTGGCATAGACCCCTTTTGATTTTTATGTTCTTATCTTGAGTCTCGAGTCTCGCCGCGCCGTGGCGGTTTCTGGGAGCTTTTGCGTTTCAGGACGCGGTGGGTCACACGGCACAGCGGCACCTTACCCAGCAAACAGGTAACATGAAGGTCCGGAAGGATTCAAGATATTGGCGCCACCGCCAGTCACGAGGCGTTTCTAGCTATCTATCCCCTTTGGCTGTGGCTAAACCCTTTCTTTTTTTTTGGCCCCCGCACCTTGCTAGGCAGACTGTTCGTCCGATAAGGCAAGCCGGTTCGGTTCGGCGCCAAGAGTTACAAGAACGTTGCAAAAAAGTGTTGTTGGGCGCGCCGATCACATTGCCCTCCCCTGCCCTGGAGTTGGTCCTAAAAAACTACGAGGGAGTGTCTTGTTGGATGTGAGTGTGGGTGAGTGTGAGTGAGTGTGAGTGTGAGTGTTGCACTATAGCAGCCGAGGCATGCCTTGCCATGCCATGCCATCCCGTTCTCCACATTGACCCGCTGTCGGCCGAACTCTGCCGCAGAGAATGGAACTGGGCCGAGAGAACTGCCGTGGCCGGCTTACCAAACAGGCCGGTCGCGAACGGAAACTGAAACGGGGGAAAAAAGATGAGACGAGGTGGTATCTGTGCTACGATTGATTAGTTAATTACTAGCCCTATGCAGAGGCTCTTCGCCTTACACAACCCTAGGGGGTGGCGGGTGTGTGTGTGTATGTGTGTGCAAGTCACAATTCCACCATCAAGTTGTGGACGTTCAAGCTGTTCGCAGCTAATCAGGTACGTGTCGCATCACAAAAAAAAGCCGATCGACAAGGCGAATCGATCGACGCGCGGGGCAAAAAAAGCGTCGAACCGAACGAAGCGAAACAAGCGCCCGTGCGTTCTTTCTTTCGTTTCTTTTTTTTTTCTTCTTTCTTTTAGTTCTGTTTCTTTTTCCCTGTTAGACAAAAATAGGCCGATCTGCGCGTTTTGCAACTGCCCGGGGGCTGGCTGGCTGGCTGGCTGGCTGGCTGGCGGCTTGGTTCCGCCCGGTCGCTAATGCAGGGCGTGGAAACCCCCTCCTCCCCGGCGCAAAAGCAGCAAGCCGAAAGTGTGACGGGAGCTGGAAGCCGGGGAAGTCAAGCCTGATCTAGCCCGTTAGGTATCTTTCTGGAGCTGCGCTTTTTTCCATGTTGTTTTTTTTCCCTTTATAAACCACCTCGGGGTCAACGGCATAGAAGCAACTCTCGGTCGGTCAGGGCAGGCATGGAAGACAGGCAGGCGACGGCGGGAAGAATGAGCTCTGCAGTGAACGGCCGGCAGCCCTGGAATGATTCCCCTGGCCCTGGCCCAACCCCGCCATGGCTACCTGCAAGGGTAGGTAGCTTCCTAATCACAGCTGTGGTTGCACCCACCCCATCAATTCTCGCCGATCTCTCTTCCCCAGGTCGGCGGGTTTTACCCCGCCCACACTACAAATGGCGTTCTGTCACAGTTTTTGCTCCGCTAGATAAGGTCCCTTTGGGTGAGAGAGGAGACAAGAAACAGCCTTATCTTTGCAACGAAAGCTTAACCAGCTGGCGCTCTCGAGTTGCCGCGCGCTGGCAGCAGCGCCATGGCCGCTCAGGCTCCCAAGAACCCGGTTCGCACGCAACGCGCCAGTCCGGCACCAACGAAATTGCACGTCAAAACTACTGTGTAGTATACCTTCCTTCACCTTAGCTTCCTAGGTAACCTTTTTTTTTTTCGACCCTGTGTAACATGCATCTCACCTCACCTCCATGTTCAAACTTCAGCCCGCAGCATCCGGTGCGTTTCTTGGAGGGTCCCCACTTGTTACCGGATCGGGCAACCCACTCCGTCACCGTTGGTGGCGGCGGCGGCCGGGAACCACGAAACCACAATTTATCATTGCGGCGGTGTCTTGCCGTTGGTGCCAAGGTAAAAAAAAATTAAAAAAAAATAAAAAGTGACGCTCGCTCTCCGGCCATCTCTCCAGTCATCTCTCTCCCCCTGTTTGCCTTGCACCACTCTCGGACTCGGGGCATTTGTGGGAAAAGACGCTAGACAGCGCTATTCTAACTTCTGCCCGGACAATTTTTGAGATAAAATGATGCGAGTTAGCGCGGTTGACCTATCGTCCGTCCGCGGATGCAGATGCGCTAGACAAGCAGCTGACGACTGCTATCGGTTTATCACACGTGTTGTGTACGCTCAGGTGACCATTTTGCCGTGGTGCTATCTATGTGCATGGTTATTCGTTGTCCGCCTACCTACCTTGGTGTTGCTTGCTTTACTTGTGCTCTCATCAGTGCCGAGACGCATCTCACTCAGATCGCCGTAGTGGCTATTTTAGGGGCTTCCCGATAGGCTATGAGTGGGGGGCGGGGGACGAATCGGGCAAGATTGCCCAAGGCGGGGGTTTCCGTTGCAAATGGATACACTCAACGTCAGGTAATACGGACTCGGTGGTAGTAGTAACAACATAAGCCCTAGCTGAGAAAAGATAGCAGGGGTCAGGCCGGATTCAGATTCTGTCATCATGCCGTTGCATGCTCGCGCTGCATTACATTTGACAAAAGACCTGGATGGTTGCTGCCTTGTCTCGTTGTGATAGAGGGTAAGGTTAAACGTATCGTAGACTTTGATTTCCGAGTAATTGACAGTGTCGCAGCTGTTCTCTGCTGTCAAAGAGTGTTTTAGTCTTGGCTAAGTAATTAATTCGGTTCTAATTACGGGGTAGTGAGGGCTAAACACTTCCCAAGGGAACCGCTTTGTCTCTCTCTTGGCACCGTTCACACCATCCAAGCTCAGCCATGGGTTTCTTTGTTCAGACGCCTCGATGCCTCTCGAACCTCAGCCAACTCACGCGGTGCTTGCAAGAACAAAGTCGACCCGGGCGTGGGCGCATTCCCGCTCCGCCCAGTGGCCGGGCCTGGCCAAAGAAGACTTCCGCAATTAGGCCAGTCTCGTCCAAGTATCGGTCCAGACAATGTTTGGATGTTAGGGTTGTGAGCTCGAGTTCCAATTCCGTCAATTCGTAGCCGTTTTGGTTCTTGGCACCGTCGTGCTTCATATCTCGTGCCACGGCCTCTCCAGAGAGGATTAACTTGGGCTGTTTGCTCCTGTCTTCAATGGTCACCAATTGGCGCCTCTGAACGTTGTGCCATGATTCCAGGACCGCGCTGTTGTTGTAAACACCATGGCCAGCAACCTGTTCCCCGCCGTGACTGAAGCTCCGACGCCCAGCCCGGCTTTGGAGGGGAGAGCAGACACCACGGCGAATCCCACCAAACCGCCCGCCCTTTGCGGCTTTATCGACTACACGTCCTCGTACACGTGCAAGACGGGAGCGTGCAAGTTCAACACCGACTACTACGCCGTCGGCTGCTGCGATGGTGACAACTGCGACTGGTAACTAAGCCTCGAGCTAATGCCGTTTGTGTCAGTGAGGGGATACTGACAGAGCGCGGCCAACGCGTAGGCGGACTACATGTTGCGGCTATCAACCGAATACTTCATCATTCGTTACATGGTAATCACTACCCGCGGCGGAGCAAGTTCCTATCTTCAGCCACGCCTGGGTCATCATTGGCGCAGCCACTTGCTGATACTGCAGGCTAGGGATACCTGGACGTCGACGTGCGGCGGCACGAGGCCAGGAAAGCTGGTTGGCACGTGGTCAGTTCCGCCCAAAGCCATCACCGGCATCTTGACACGAATCACCCACCTAGCTAACTTTCGCACTCCCAGCTCCGACCCGACGGCCCCCTTTGGCGGCACGGCGCGCTTCGAGAACGGTTGGAAAGTGCCACCACAGCAGCTGGGCGGGGATTGATGCATAGTCTTGACAGTTACCCGTGCTACCTTGTCACGGTTTCATGTCTTGTAAAAACAACACTGTGTGGGTTTCGACGCATGATGCTGGGAGTTGCCTATGCTATCTTGTTCTGGTTTGGTGTCTTACGAAAACAACATTATGCTGTGATATCAAATACGGGCCTAATCAACAAGCAGTTTGGCTCACTCCAGCGTACCACTGAGTTGATTTCTTTGTTACTCTAGCCACAATGCCCTTTAGAATTGGCTTGCTAGTTAACATATTTCCTTTGCTACAAAACAAATACCATTTAAAAGTGGCTTGCTAACATGAGCCCTTTGACGGTTCTTTCACTAGGAAACACAATTCATTGTCTCGTCATGTAATGCGATACTCAACCTCTTCCTACTTTCTTTCTCGTGGCGGTGAGCGTCATTATCCTCATATCGACTCAAGGACCACCTATAGACAGACCAAGATAATTAGACTTCAGCCTGTTCATGATCAGTCCCTAACATATAGACTCTGGTGATGACTCGAAATGTTCGGAGAGGCAACACGGATATCGGGATAAAAAGGAGCTGACGTTCGTTTTCAATCCATGTCTACATATCTATACCCTCCAGTTCCTCACACACTTTGGAGACATTTAAAGAGTTCAGGATCCCAAGCTTTGCAGTTCGACAAAAACTGCTTCAACTTTTGGGGTAGCCTCGACTTTGATATATCCAACATGGCTGACGAGTGCGAAGACTACTACGCGTACATCTTCGTCCAAGGGGACAAGAAGTACCGCTTCCTGCGCACGCTCGGCACTGGTGCCGAGTCGACGGCGCAGCTGGTCGAGGATATCGACACGCTCGACGTCCTGGTCCGCAAGGTCACAAACATCCGGCTAGACTGCCTGATTGAGGACATTGTCACTGGTGATGCTTTGGACCCCGACGAGGCTCTCGCGCGGGGACTCGTCACGACGAAGCCAACCGAGTTTCTTTCGCTGGGAGAGATGGCAAGGTGGGGCCCCAGGCCCGACCTGCCGACCCCGTACATTCCGGAGTGCTACTCGCACCAGTACATCCGGCAGCTGAACACAAAGGGCGTGGACAAGTACTCGTCTGTGTCATACTGGAAGCTGTATAACGGCGGTACCGCATGGGACTGCCTTGGGATGAACGAGAGTTTCAAGGGACTCTATTCGCCCATCGGCCGCATGGTGTGGCAGGTCGCCGGTACTCTGAAGTACATGTTGGAAGCCGGCGAGTGCCCCATGTTCCACTGCGACCTCCACCTTTGCAACATCTTCGTCGACTTCGGCAGAGACACCAACTTGCCCGACTTTTACGTTGGCGACTTTGGCAGAGCCAAGATGAGGTTGCGGAACGAGGTGTGCAACGACAAGTATGGCGAAACGGGTGTTTACTTGTTCGTCCACGACGTCGCCCAGCTTGCGCACTTGATGAAGACGATTCTGGACTGGGTATGCCCCAGGTGGAAGTCCACCATCACAATGGACGACACCCCTAGACCCGTCAAGGTCCTCTGGGACATTTGGTTTGCGCTCCTGATGTCACAGTCAGAGTGGGACACTAAGCGGAAAGAGGGGATACCTGCAGTTCCGAATCTCGACGAGGTCATCAGCCTGGGCCACCAGCTCGAGTATCTGTGCCAGAAAGGGGGTGCGTGCGACGAGACGAACGGGGCACCTTGGGTAGAGTTTTTAACCTTTGTCCGGTGGACAGCCGTCTACAAGGTCGGCATTCAAAGGTCAATGGAGGTTGAGCGACAAACGAGGAGTGAAGCTCTTCACCCTCGCGACGCGGATTACTCGCCCAGTCCCATCCCAGGCCCCTTCTACCTCTGCAAGCCTGTCTGGGTCCCCGTTGACAGCCTGCCAAACAGCCGGCCTAATAAGTTCGTCGATGACGCATCCAACCCAGACACAAACTCGACCAGGAGCCCAAGAAACTGGGAGGCGCTGCAGTTTATACCTACCCCGGAGCCGGAATACTCTTACAGGGCAGCCGACATGGCGAAAGCCCGCGGGGTCATCACCGACAACAGCGTTAGCATGTGGCTGTTCTCCAACTCGGACAGGGCGGTTAGAGTTGGCAACCCCGAGAAGGAGAAGGAGTCGTCGGAGCCGGAGCCGGAGCCGGAGCCGGAGTCCGTGTTTGACGAAACAACGCCAGCGTTGTGGCAGGCTGTAAACCGTCAAAAGACTCGACAAGATATGGACAGCGGGCCGGGAAGGTCTCCTGACACGCCCTACTTGCGCTCCCCCGAGGACGAGGCAACTGCTCCGCGCAACCCCGACGAGCTGAAATGGTGGAAGGAGATTGATCTCCAGAATGACAACATGCCAACAGCCCCGGGATCTCCCTACATGCCAGAATCCTGGCAGCGCTTGCAAGAGATTGATCTCCAGGATGACAACATTCCTCCAGCCCAGGATCTCCCTACATGCCAAAAGCTTGGGAGCGTTTGATGGAGGCTCGGACCCGCGCTGGCCTGGACGGCTTGGCGCCCCCTGTGGACCAGAACACCAACATACCACCACCGGCGGCACCTCAACCCAGCAACAACAGAGCAAACATACCACCTAGAGCTTCAGTTCTTGCCCCGGACCCAGTCCCTGTCACGAACAGAAGAACTCGAGCTCCAGCAACTTGGCTACCCACCCTATCAGCAGCTCCAGCCTCAGCAACTCCAGGGCGCACAGCCGCCTCCACCCGTATCCCGTCCCGGCTTGCTCCAAGCCGCGCCCATGCTTCAACTGCGGCTCCCAAGAGGCTCCCAGCTTCGACTGCGGCTCCCAAGAGGCCCCTAGCTTCGACTACGGCTCCCAAGAGGTCCCCAGCTTCGACTACGGCTCCCAAGAGGCTCCCAACTTCTACTGCGGCTCCCAAAAAGCTCCCGGCTTCGACCGCGGCTCCCAAGAGGCTCCCGGATCCATCCCCTGCTCCTACAGCATCGGCGAAACCCAAGGGAAAGCCGCCAATCAAGGCCCCACCTGGTCCACCAAAGTCGCCTACCAAGGCACCAGCCAAGGCACCAGCCAAGGCACCGGCCAAGGCACCGGCCAAGGCACCTCTCAAGCCTCTCGCCAAGGCACCGGCCAAGGCACCTCCTACACCGCCGGCCAAGACAGTCGCTTTCAAGGCACCGGCAAAGCCGCTCCCAAACCAGCCGCCAAAGCCAAGGCCTCGGCCGAGCACCCCCACAAGGCCTCGACCAAGCACCCCCGCCACCCCGTCGCCTGCACCGAGCACTGTCGGCAGCGCGTCTAGACGAAGCAATTCGTCGTACGCGCCATCCGTCTCCAGCCCGTCTTCGACTGCGCCAGACACGGCCCTCTACCAGGATGCCGCCCTCTCGGCCAGCCACTTCCGCTCGCCCCCGCCGCTGACCCCGTCTACGGAGCAAGGCTTCGAGGACGGGGAGTTCGTCGAGCTGCTGCGGAACTCGCGCCGGATTCTGACCTCGGGAGCAGCAGTCTGTGAAGCTGACTGGCCCAGGGTGGCTGCGGCGTTCGCGACCCTCGAGGACGTCGCCGACGGGTGGATCGAGACGGTGCGCCGCCACCGCAACCTGCACGAGCTGCTGCACGGGCCCGGGTGCCAGTGCAGCCGCGGCGATGATGGCGAGGACATTGGCGCGTGGCAGATCGAGATCCAGGAGATTGTCGAGAAGGAGCTGGCTTGGCGCCGTGGACACGGTGTTTGAGTGAATCCCATTTCTACTTCATGCTGATTGTAATTAATTATAATCACTGAAAAATCCCCCAATTCTCTTCAACACGTAAACACCGACCACGAGCCAAGTGGCGCGGGCGATGTTTCACAAAAAGAATGGGGAAAAAGAAAATAGAACCCCCCAAAAAAGGAAACCCTGGAGTTTGGAGTTTGACTTGCGCAAATGCTAAGTGGCATGGCGCTCACGATGCCTTAGCGAAGGTAAGTATTTAATTCCTTGTCTCCCCGAGTCCCTCACTGCACAACTGCCAATTGGCACGGCGCTCACAATGCCTTATCCAAGGTAAGTACCTATCAATCAATTTTCATTTGTCCCTTGTTGGAATAACATACTGGAATGACGCGCTGATCCAAGGAATGCGGCTCCGCATCCCTGGCCACAGCAACGTCTGTGGAGGAGCGGGCCTGACAGATGCATATATATTGGCCTACGCCCACCTGTTCAGATAGGTAAAAAGACAGACAGACAAAAACGAATCCATCACTTGAACCACCACCTTACGGCGCGCAGCGCGCCATGCTGTTTCCAGTACCGGTACCCTGGTGATTCCTACACCCTATAACCCGCGCAGCCTACTCATTCGCTATGTGAAAGGACCTTCAAAGTTTTCTAAACCAACTGGTTTATGATAATTAGAGAAAACCAAATATAACCGAAATCGCCCCGATAATTAAGACTTATCCCAAGTTCAGACTAAACCAAACGTTAACAGTGAATACGTGAAGTAATTAAAACAGCACCCGTGACAAAATACAGATAAGGTACCTTAGTGAATTGAATCAATAAGTAGGTCTTATCTACGTTTTCCACATACCCCCCTCTGAACAGGGGAGAGGGACTCTCTGGTAGCCATCCCCAGGGTGTATAGTATTTACTGGTATCTATGTACCATCTCGGCTTCACTAGCAGTAGTATATCCACGTGGGCCAGGTGGTGGGTGATTCAGCCGCTTAGCTGCATTTTAGCGCCAAAAAACGCCCGTGCGATCAGCACGTTAAAAGATCCTACCATATGCACTGTCGGCCCCGCCGAAGGAGGCCACGAAAAGAGTGCAAAAAGGGTCTTAAAAAAGGTCAAAAAATTCGAAGAAAAGGTTTAAAGGAGGGTTTTAATCGGGGCTCTAAAATGGCTCGAAAAGCAAGGTAAAAGGTGGTTTTATTTGCGAGTTATTTTGGCTTATGGCCCACAAGTCTTGCTTTGCGGCTGGCCCGTAGCTGCTTACAAAACTTGTCAATGGAGCAGCCAATTTGCTGCTGTTGAAGATGAACTATGCGGACGGCAGCTTCCTCGCTCGTACGCTGGGCTCGCACAATCCGCTGAACCTCCTTAACAACTTCGGACCGTAAAGAATACCACTGCAGTTCAGTCTGCCGGCCGGCCCGCCACCGGTTCCCCCATCTCCGATCAAGAGTAGCCACGGCCGGCCCGCCCTGGAGGCCAACAGTCCACTCACGCCAAAGGTCTGCCACCGTCCTGACTGCACGGCTCATACGGTACTGTGGCGGCTGTTCTTCTCCTTCGACCGGTAGCCAGCTAATTGTGGGAGCCGGGCTGCAAAGGCGGCTAGTAGCAGAGCCATACTGGCTTTGTTCATCTGGGCCAGCTCCCGGCCTAGCCATAGGGCCAGCTCCCGGCCTAGCCATAGGGCCAGCTCCCGGCCCATTTATAGGGCCAGTTCGTTGGCCCGCTTCGGCTAGGACCGGCTGTGGAGCGGTTGCTTGTATATGGACTGTAAGACCAGCAGAAAGGATATTGTGGAGCTTAACTGTCTGCTGCGACTGGGCCTCGATAAGCCGCATCTCGGTGGCTTGGAGCTTTGCTGTGAGCTCTAGGACCCGGGCCTCATTACGAACATCGATCGATTTTAAGTAGTCTGATAGGACTGGAAGCGCTTGGGTTAACACAGCCAGTTGGCTGGGCCGCTCTTCTTCCTGTACGAAAGCAGCCACCTGCTTGGCGAATGGCTTATATCCCGGGTGTTGGAATACTGGGTGGCTCCAAACTGGGCTGTTCGGGAACCTATCCATCAGGACAGCCGAGTCTTGTAGAACTACCCCACGGAGGTAAAAAAAGGAGGTTAGTAAAGCCCATAGCAGCTAGATCGTTAATTTGGCCAGGCCCTGGGCCAAACCGGCCTTGCCACTGGTCCAACTGCGGCCAAATCATCGAAAGGAGGTCGGCTGGCGGCGCCACGCCGGCCCTCCGGACCTCAAAGCATCCCATCTGCGGAGGATGGCCGGCCATAGTACGCATAAACGTGCGGGGCAGGGAGTTGAGGTAACAGCCGATCATCTGCTCTTGGTTCCAACGGCCGGCCCGGCGGATTTGATCCTCGCTAACACCCTTCAATTCGGCCACCTTCGCTCCCGAGCTACGGCCGATGTGTGTCTTCTTTTGGGAGCTGATCCCGGCATACGAGAGGGCCCGGGCCGCCCACTCCCGTTGCGAGTTGTAGGAGAGACCTGCCGTCCACCCCGTACTACTGCTCGTAATCAGGCGGATGTCGTACCACGCCGGCCGCTGGCTGAAGTCTGGGAACGGCTCTTCTGTAAGATCCCAGCGAAAAAGGAGGTAAAATGCGAGGCCGCTCAATGCACAAATCAGTGGCTTGCGGTTCCGTAGGGCCCCGGCTGTCTCGAGCCGGCCGTGCTGGTTGGTCTTCCCGGCCCGCGTCGTCATAATTAACGGCATACAAGGAGTAGGGCCTTCGTCCGGGAACTCAAAGGTAAATAGATCGGATAGCTCTAAAGCCCTCCGGTCGCCTCCATGTGTGAGCATATAGTGGCCAAGAAGCAGGTCGACAAGGGTCCGTAAGTGGCTCTCGGCTGGGCCGGTGGCCAGGGTGGGCGGCGATATATTCGACACCCCTGTACGAATATTTGGCGAACATGATTCGCTGAAATCGACAGAAGTTCTAGTGGGGTAAACGGTAAAAATTAGTGAGATGAATACTGTAACTTAGCGGGCTGGCGCTAAGCTATAGCGGGTATTTTCCCTTTACGTTTTGCTGCCAGCTTTGCCCCCTATGGTGCCCGTAATAGCATCCCTCATCTCGCTAAGTTTTAGTGTATCACATTCGCCGAATATTTGTACAGGGGTATCGAATATATCGCCGCCCACCCTGATTTGGGCTCAATTCCACATTCTTCCTCTTGGTTCCCTTTTTGTTCTCAAGCTCAGCTTTCAGAGCCTCATTTTCGCGCCTGAGCTTAGCCAGCTCAAAGTCCCTAAGGGTAAACGCCTTCCTGACCTTCCTAAATAGCTAGTAACGTACTGTAAGGAAAGAGCACCCCAAACGCCCGGTCCGGCCCAGGCGCCACCAGCTGGCCCCAAACAGCTGGCCCGGCCCAGGCGCGACCAGCTGGCCCCAAACACCCGGCCCAGACACCCGCCAGATTGAGCCACCCAACTATGTATATAAATAGTGGCCCTCGCCCACCTTCCTTTGCGAGGGCCAGGTTGAAGTCTTTTACCAATGCCAGTCATTGCTCGCCCTCTTGTTCCCTCCATCGTGACCACCTTGATCAGGCGTACCTGCCTTCTCTTACATATCGCGAGTAGCTGCTTCCTTCAAAGAACATGTTTTCACAGAAGAAGCAACGGGCGGACCTTTCTTTAGCGGGCTTTCACTCGGCTAGTCTAACCTCCTTCCTGTGCCGTGGCGGCATCGGCGTATACTTACGACCGTGGCACGTCTCCACATAGTTGCTCCAGTACTCTGCCCCGTCCACGACGTGCCTCTTTCCTTGACGACCGCACTCGCCACACGGAAAGGGACGGTCGAAGGCACCTTTACTGAAATGGTCGTTCTCGTTGTGCCTTGTCAAGCCGCCGCGGAAGGTAAAAAATTTTAGACAGAATAGGCATTGCTAGCGCTCGATCTGTTTGGCGACGTCCTGCGTCTTATTATCTCCCAACGAGCTCATAATGGTCTCCACCTCAGTGTCCCGGTTTCCCAGGTACGCAAGAAGTAGCTGTGAAAAGACCCGGGCTCGCCGGTATCCTCCCAGATCTTTCTCGCGAAGGAAGCGGCCAATATACACAGCGACCTTATCGGCAGCCGCGGTCCGAGTTAGCGGCTTATGTAGCTTTACCGTTGCCGTTGGCGTGGATAAGTCGTTAGTTGATTGTCCAAGGGCCCTTCGTCTATCCACCTCTTTGAAGTACTTCTGTCGCTTATCCTGGACTATAAGCTCTATAAGTTCCTTTTGACGGTTCACGTACGTATTACGAGCCCGTGTCGAATCCGTATGGTCCCATCCTTTACATTCCCGCATTTCGTCGTACTCGTCCTTCACCTCCTGAATATATAATATTAGGTAAATAGAATATCTCTTTACAAAAGGCTAATATACCGTCGAGTTTTGAACCAGCACCGACTCGGAGGGAATATAGTCGCCGATGCTCTCGGTTGCCAGATACCAGCCACAGGCGATGCCATATTTTCCAAAAGGAGGCGTAGTTCATCGTAAATATTTCACGATCTATAAAATCATCCTTCCAATAGAGTGTCACGGCAGGTGCCAGACAGGTGGTAAGAGCTGGCACACCCCGACCAGACATTCTGGTTTAGGATGTGGTCAGTGCATAACCTCACCAACTCAACCTATTTCTCTGCGCCCTGCGCAGCCTTTGGAACTTTCTTTTCTTTTCTTTCCTTAGCTTTAGATTCTACGAATACAGCGACCATATTGCAGCCCTGTCTCAAATTAGTTGACTGTGCGGTGACAATCTAAAGCTCAATCTCACTACTCGCCTGGGAAGGCAATTGCAAAGAATATCCCCCGGAAAAGAACAGAACCCCGCGGTCGCTACACAGGTGTACGATCGCCGACCGAAAGAAAGCACCCAGGCGGAGTGCTAGAAAGAGAGGCGACCGGTAAGATGCCTACCGCCGACGATACCGCCATGCAGGCAGTTCTGCAGACGGCTGTCGACGAAGTGAACTTCGATCGCGAGAGCTTCATGAGAACCCACCCTCGCAAGAAGTCAGAGACCACGTTAGCTATGCTAGCCAAGCAATCCGAAGTGACCGCCAAAGCCACCCAGGTCCCAGCGAACCCCACTAATGACCGAGTGGACATCTACGACTCTACGAACCGTGTCCTGCGCGATGTCGACGGCGCGAAGTTCACGCTCTCTGTCGATGAGATCGATAAGGACCTTTAGGAGAAGATGTCCGACATGGTAGCCGCATTCGTCAAGCGGAACAAGAATGGACCCGCCTTACCCTTTGGCACGTGGTTACATCCAGATCTCATCGCTTTTGAGGGACCTATGGATATCAAGGACTTTGAGCAAGCATCGACTAGACATCCTGACGAGCATTACCAGGAGTTCAAGGTCCGCACGTTTTTAGCGCACGGCCTGTACGACCAGATGTCTCAGCTATATAGCATCGCTCGCTATCAGGCAGTCGTTATCGATAACCTCAAAGCATGGGCAACCCGAATCCTGACACAGAATACACGCTCAGCCGCTGCGACTTCGGTTACGAGCCCCACAGCTGGAACCCTAAGCCCAGCTGACGAAGGTCTCGTCGCAAGCCTAAACGATGCCTTACAAGATCGGAATGAGGCCATCGAGCGCATGCAGGATAAGATCAATAGCCTGAGCCGCGCAATCGCTGACAACGCTGTTAACGGCTCGATCCGCGGATCAACACCCGCATCAGTGGACAGTACGTCACGTCGAAGCGCCAAGATTTCTGATCCTCCGCTATACTATAACGAGAAGGACAAGGATACGGTCACCTTCAACGCCTGGATCCGCCAGATAAAGAACAAACTGCAAATCAACGCAGACCACTACGATAATGACCACGCTCGCCAGTCATATATCGAGTTCCGTCTAGCCGGAAAGGCTTCCCATCAACTGGAACCCTACTTGGAAGAGCGCCATCCCAACCAGATCAACACATCTGAAGGCCTGCTAACATGGCTCAAGAACGAGTTCCGCAACCTTAACCGGGAGGAAGAGGCGATGGACGAGTTCACCACTCTCCAGATGAAGCCAGGAGATGACTATCATACCTTCCGTAACGAATTCGTACGCCTAGCAGGAGAGTGCCGACGACCACGCTCTGAGTGGAAGAAGAAGTTCAAACGACGCCTTACCCCTGCCATGCAGGACAAGCTCACCCGCGACTATATCGACAACCAAGTGGACTTTGAGAAGTACGCTAAGATCGGTGCCGAATACGCACTGAATATGAAGCTGGCGCAGAAGTCTCGCCAGGCTAACCGGAAGGCGGAGCAGCTCATGAACCCCCCGGCACAGAACAACCGACGCCCTTTCAACCGCCCCCCATCAAGCAACCCCAACAGTGGAGGAAACAAAGGGGGTGGCAATACTAAAAAGCCCACCGTTGAGGAGATCAAGAAGCTGTACGCTGAGGGCCGCTGCTTCATCTGCCGCGAGCAGGGACACATTACTCGCGAGTGTCCCCAGAAGTCAGCACCCACACCAGACAGAGCAGCCCGACTACAAGCAGTCATCAGCAAGTTTGCAGCCAAGGATACTGACACCAGTACCGAGGCGGGCCCTACGAACAGTTCTGCAGAGAACGCTAGTTCGGAAAACTAGTTACCCTGGGGCAGTTGGACTCCCTCCCAGAGGTGACACTGATCTGTACAGCCAGAAAGATAGAGAAAGGAAAAGAGGGCATAGGCCTACTAGCCAAATACTTGGGCGGCTCCTCATTCACTGTTAGCTGTGATATAGCAAGCAATGGACTCTCTTTAACTACCACTAAACTACGGGTGTATTCGAGGTTCGGCCGGCGGAGCATCTCATCGAGAGATTCGAAGGGGGTGTTAAAGGCACCGGCGGCGATAGCTTGGGTGGCGATGAGGCTGATAAGGCAGACAAACTGGCAGGTGGCGAGGAAAACTTTAAAAGTTACGCTTTAAAGAAAATTAGTATACTAAAGATATCGAAGAAGGGAGTAATTATACCTTACTTTTATAGTACCGGTCCCTTACGCTCGGGCATCTGCTATTTGACGCTTCTCGTAGGTTACTATAATTTCTGCCACTATCGTATTCTACGACGGGTTCTCTAGGTCCGGGACGACTATAAGACGGATATGCTTATATTCGAACCTCATTAACGAACCCAGTCGGAATCTGAGGCCTACGAGGACCAGCGTCTAGTGGAGCGCGATACGGAACTCAAGTTGACAAGGTACATCCTCAGCCCGCGTCCACAAGGTATCGAGGAGCATCAAAAGGTCTTCGGCTGTTGTCTCGACCTTCTCGAATGAAAGCTCCGATTCGCGCCTTAAGTTGAACATTTCTGCAAGATCCGTCCGGATCCACTGAACGTATTAGCACGGGGAGGCCCTTTTATAAAGTCGGACTCTCCTTATATTACTGATATCAGCCACCGGGCTTTCTCTAGAATCGCCTTTATCCTACCTCAATTTCCATAAACCACGATTGCTGGGGTCTTTGCGCCTCTTCTCTCTAAGGATCGTATTGTCCGCCTCTACAACCAAGCACCTCCAATACATTATTACGGTCTTCGTATCAGTAATCGTCTAGATAGTCTCGTATTCGTCGTCCCCATCCCCGAGGACCGGGCGGGTGGTCTTCGACGACTCAACATAATCTCGAAAGTACGACTTTATTATAGTCTTTTCGCGTTTCTGGTCGTTGCAAAGACCTAACCAAATCTGGTCAAAGTCCCCGCCCTTAAACTTCTTAACGAATCTAATATCTTATCGTTAACGAAGAACAAATAACATAACCTACGAGATCAGGTAGGTACTTACAGCCGCATCGCTTGCCATGTGCGAAACCGCTCTTCTTGTAGATGAGGGCATACTTTCCGCTTGCTATCAAAATTATCATTTGCGAGGAACTCATCGTCCTCGTCCGCTTTTCTTTGTCGCTCTTTATCGTCGCGTAACTTGACAGGTGTGCTGAGAACGAGAACGCGGCGTCGGGACATTTTGACGCGACTCGGATGCTTTCTGCTCAATGTCTGCGACAGCGAGAGCTGCCAACAGGAGGGAGGCAAAGCTCCCCCTTAAATAAATTGCGCCGCCGCCGCAACGGCGAAGCTGGCGAAACGGCCATCTTAACAGTGCGCCGCAAAAATAACGGTGTTTTCGTCTCCCCGGCAGACAATCCTTTCAATGGATGTTTGTTGGCGTGGTACTTGGGGAGAATAAATGTAATAGCCTCGAAACAAAACCGGCCAGGAAAAGCCTTAACTAGGTGTTTTGGGGAAGAGATAATTAGGCCTCTAGGATTCCAAAATAAGGATTCCAAAATAGGGATTCCAGCAGCTGTTACCCTCGTCGGCGGAAAACTTGTAGGGCGAGCCGTGAAAAGATCGGGCCTTCCTTTCAAATCTTGGAGAGTCCCTCGCCAACAAACTTTCAGGGATTGACGAGTACATACCACCCATCAACCCAACCAGCGCCCCAGCCCCATCCACGGTGCAACACCAGCACCACCGGCATCTGCGTCCCCCGGACTCGCCGCCGCCGCGGCCTCTGGCATCTCACGCACCCTGTCAAACGGGCGCTGGGCCGCGATGTCGCGCTCGCTGAACCAGGCGCCGTGGAAGCCGTAGGGCACGCGCTGGGGCAGGCGAACGCGCGCGACGACGGTGCGCATGCTGCGCGCGTCGATGATCCACAGCTCGCTGGCAGCACCGCCGTGATCATCGTCGGGACAGCGGCCGCACGCGTCGAGCTGCGACTCGTCGAACACGTACGTCAGCAGCCAGCCGTCGTCTTCGTCCCCGTCGTGGTCGTCTTCGTCCCCGTCGTGGTGATGGTGAGCCCGCGGGACGAAGCGCGGCTCCTGCGCAAACCAGCCGGCCGGCATGTCGAACAGCTGGATCGCGTCGCGGTCATCGTTGATTTTGATGGGAGCGGCGAGGATCTCGGGCACCGTGCGCGCGTCAACGCAGCCCTTGACGGCCTGGGGCGGGTGTGCCATCCCGCGCGCGATGAGGGCTCTGGTGTCGATCTTGGCCAGCACGTCGATCTTGGCCGGCTTGCCCAACGCGATCGAGTAGGGTGTCCATTTGGTCGAGCAGCCGTAGACGTAGCGCGCGTCGGCCATCTGGTGCAGCGGCGACACGGTCGGGAACTCGAATGCGATGGCGGATAAGGCCCACTGCTGCGCGATCTTGGGGGTAGTGAAGGTGTAGGGTTCCTTTTTCTCTTCGGCGTTGCTTGTCGCTGCGCCTGCTACTGCTCGCGGAAGCACGAACCGGTAGTAGTATAGCCGGCACTGCTCCTCTTCGGCGTACTCGGGCGGGGCCGGGGCGGCGGCCGGCACGGGCAGGTTGCCCAGGCTGAAGATGAGCGACGCAGAGGTCAGCCGACAGGCGAGGAGGTTGACGGCCGTCGTCGAGCCGCCCGCGGGGTTTTTATTGTCTGCGGCGGCGTCGTCGTCCCAGCAGTTGGCCGCGTGGAAGATGCAGCACGGGTTAGTCTCGAACCAGTGCACATCCCGAGGGCGGTGGCGCGGGAACACGCCGAAGCGCGCCTTGGCTGCGGCGTCATACGACACGACGGGCGCGCCCCTGGCGAAGTTTAATGGGTCCAGGCCCAGCGGTAGGTCCATGATGATGGTGTGGCCGTGCGAGACGCCAAAGTCGTGCATCATCTTTGGAGACGCGACGCCCGGCACGGCGAGGTTGAAGCGCGCGGGCGCGCTGGACTTGGCCGGCGGCACGACCGAGTACTGCACGTACGGCTTGACGGAGACGGAGTGGAACGCGATCAGCTCGTCCGTGACGTGGTCGACGCGCGGGTGCGCCGTCGTCCACGACCGCATGAAGGACAGGGCGCCGGAGCCGCCGAACCCGGCCCTCGTGTCGCCGCCGCGCTCTGGCTCGTTCTCGGCCGCTCTCCCGTTGAACCAGCCAATGGTATCGAGGGACGGCAGCGCCACGCGCAAGGGCGGACCGCTGGCACACGTCGCTAGGGCGCGCCCGTCGTGGTATAGCACAGCGGTGTTGGCCACGCTGATCTTCCGCACCGGCCACGGCGACGCCGGGAGGCGCGAGAGCAGGACCAGCAGCATCGTGCGCAGCACGGTGAGCACGAAGGCGAGGGCCGTCGTGCAGGGGTTGAGCAGCATGGCGATGCTGGGTAGGAGCGGGCGTCTAACAAAGCGGCTTCCGCGGGCGAACGCGGCCACGTCCGTCACGAGGAACTGGTTGGCGAACTCGGGGCGGACCTCGGTAGTGCCCGTATTTCCGCCTCCCCGGCGAAACAGTACGCCGCTGAGCATGCCGTCGCCGTCAAACCAGTGTGCCTCGCGCTGCAGGTCGCCGTTGGAGAGCGGGTTGCCGCCGTTGCGCACGTACTGGCCGCCGGCGAGGTCGGCTGGGATCTCGCCCTCCCACGAGCAGGGTGTCAAGGGGAGGGATCTCTGGACCGGCGCGAAGTTGCCGGATAGATAGGGGTGCGAGTCGTCGCACATGTCGGCGATCAGGGCGCCGCTCTCGGACATGGCCACCATGTCGGCTGTTGAGCGTGGTTCAGTTCAGTAACAGTCAAACACGTAGTAATAACTCATTGATACCAGGGCCGTTTCTTGTCGCAAGCAAGCGGTGACAGTAGAAGGGAGTCCACTTCCACGAGATAAAAAGTCTGATGGCAAACATGGCTAAATGCTACGCCGTCATTCATGGATCTTTCTGATGTCGTGTCTGCTCTCTCTGCGACGAGAATGACGACATGGCACTATCAGAGCATGACGTTCCATCCAGGATGGCGGGTACGTTGTGCGATATTGACATGTCGGGTTGGAAAAGTGCAGTGGGGGATGTCTGCGATATCAAAGATGATCGTTAAATAAAAAATAGAATACCGAAATATTTTCAAGCAATTAAATTCGCGCCGTCCTTGTCTTGGGAAACGGACAGTCCGGCACCTGGCTGCCAGTTGCCGCTGACACTCCCGTAGTCGAGACCAAGCTTGAATGTGCACGGAACACAAACAATTCCGAAACCAGCTGTCGTCAGCTGGCCGACCTGGGCTAGTCAAAATGTAATATGCATCGAAAAGCAATGGCCTTGTCAAGCTGCTCATCGGGCTGCATGTGTACAACATGAATACTGGCGATTCCATCTGCAAATGAAAGGAAATGCAGACCGATAAAGTTTCGGTACTTGTTTGGAACTTGACAGGCAGGCTTATTTTTGGACTCGGTGTTGTGGTTCGCAGTTGCACAGGCTGAACAATAAACACGATGGGTCAAAATCATAACAAACGCAGACGTGGCTGCACACGAGCTGCCTCGAGCCGTTGATCCCGGGCAGCTCGGAGCGACTTCTGTTTGTAGGAGACCGCCATTGGACCTCGAAGGTGCAGGAGCTACCCGAGGGGCTCCTCCGTGCATCTGCACTGGACGATGCAAAGCGTGAGGCCTACACAGTCGCGTGACACACGGCTCTGGGTGGTTCTTTCTACTTTCTACCGCTGGCTGGCTGACCTATTAGGCTGCCATGCAAAATTCCCCTCGCCCTTTCTTTTTGAGTCACCTCACTCTTTCAGTTCTTCCCAGAACCACTTCCCTCCCCCTCCTCTTTCTATCCAAATCAGCCCGCACACCTTTTCCCAAAATTAACCTCCACATTTTCAATCACCCGGCCTTCCCAGAATCTAGAAATCAGAGGAAATTCTTCCCTCGCTCTTTCTGAACTCTGAGTTTACGGGGTCTTGAGAGCAAAAGAAATCGCGTCACATTCTCGCCGCCGAAGCATCCAACTGCGTCACATTCTCGCCGCCGAAGCATCCAACTGCGTCACATTCTCGCCGCCGGAGAATCCAACTGCCCGCCATGGCGAGCTCGAGCCGAAGGTAAGCTCAACTCATTGGATCCTTATCCTCAATCTCATCACTCGTGTCTAATCGTTTTGAACATCTAGAGGTGCTTCAGCATCCGGCTCAACGCCTGACTGTTCGAAACCCTGTCACCGCTTCCAGCGAGGACAGTGCACGTTCGGCAACAGATGCAAGTTCTCGCATAACGTGGCATTGAATCAAGGAGCTCAATATCGGGGGCATGGCAACCGAGGTGGACATGGCAACCGGGGCGGACACCTCGGATCTCCTGCAAGGTCACAGTCCGGCGACACACGCCGGGCCGAACCAGTTGACCGTGCCAACGAAGGGAAGCTACGAGAGTGGAAGCGTCTTCTTCAGGGATCGCAGAACGTTCGACCATCGCCGGCTAACGTCAGTCGCTTCTTCAAGCTCGGCCTAGAGCTGATGGACGGCGACGTTGGCGGTGCCCAGGAGGTCATCAAGCTGTTTGCCAGCGAAGCTGGGCTGGCTTTTATCAAGAATGTCACTGATCGAAACATCGCTGCCGTCCTCGGAGACGCTCCCAGCGCCGGCTTCTGGGAGGCCCAGATCAAGCCTCTCTTTCAGCTCATCACCCATCCGGCGGTCGTTGACTGTGCTGTCTTGGAGCAACAGGTTGCCATGCTGTTCAATTTCATGTACGGAGTGGGCGGTGATCGAATGGCAAGAGTTTTTGGCTACGTCGCGGCACTAGTCAAAGCCTGGCCAACATCCGCACCGACACCGCCACGCATCGCAGCCGTCGAGTTGACTCTGGCCGTCTTGACCAAAATTCTCGACAGCAATACCACCAACATAATCAATGACAAGTTCTCTACCTTGGCTAACAGCCTCTCGACGTGTCTCGAAGAGGAGGTGTTTCCAGACGAAGAGTTTTCCCGCTTGCAGGCTTTGAAGTATCTCGAGTACATCCGGCTTCGACTCAGCCTTGGAGAAGACATCGCCAATGTTCGGGATCGCCCCCAAGCCGCTGTTGCGCGGGAGCAGTTCCTCCTCAGGCGTGATCTTCCCGGCCAGCTGTCTGCCGATGGCACACGGCACGACAATGACCACGCAGAAATTCCCGATATCAAAATCCTGCCCACCTACGAGGAGATCATGTCGCCCCGTGCCGAATACTTGCCAACGATTGATCCCTCACAGTGGCACGTCAAGGGCATCCGCGGACGCTTGGACAGAGAATTTCGCCTATTGCGAGAGGATACTGTTGGCCAACTTCGCGACGCAATCAGGGTGACACTTGAATCCATTCGGAACCCTCAGGCTGGGCCAGTTTACCGCTCAAAAAATGTCGCACGAACTGACACGTATGAGCACCCTAAGCCCGTGCGTGTCGATATCGATAGGTTTGGCAACATGGAGCTGGTGACTCGCTGTAGCCAGATTGCAGCCGTCCGAGCCCTGACCCTAAACAAACGCAGAGAATGGTGGATGCAGAGCAAGAAGCTCCAAGCTGGAGCCTTGGTTTGCATTCTCAACGCCGGCGGTTCTGTCATATTCTGCGTCGTCTCGGAGTCTACGATGCGGACCGTGGATGACAAGAAGCCGGGTCATCGATCCAGGGAAGCCGACTCAGAGGAAGAGTCTGACGGCGAGGTAGGGCAGAAGGCCGAAGATTTTACGCTTTCAGAAAATCAAGATGTGCTGTATGTCAGACTCCAGCTCATTGACCCTACCAGCCACGACATTACCCAGACACTCTGCTGGTACCGAAACGTGGGATCTTCACCACGCCATTACCTAGTGGAATTCCCTGGTGTCCTCCTCGCTTCGTTCAAAGACACGCTTGCGGCTCTTCAACAAATGTACAGAAAACCCAGCATGCCATTCAGCGAGCTGCTGGCCCCAGGCGAAGGCCAATCCACAAAGCCCAAGATCAATCCGCCCCAGTATGCCCGGAGAGCAGGCTTCTCGTTTGACCTCGCCTGCTTGACTCAGCCAGGTATAAAGCTTAGCGTCTCTCCCCAGAACCCACCAGACCCCGAAGAAATTGCGTCTCGGACAACGCTCGATCCTACACAGTCGGTTGCCCTCCTCAATACCCTGTCGAGGGAGTTTTCGCTCATTCAGGGTCCTCCGGGCACCGGAAAGAGCTACACCGGAGAGAAAATCATCAAGGTCCTTTTGGGAAACAAGGACAAGGCCAAGCTTGGGCCGATCCTGTGTGTCTGCTACACCAACCACGCCTTGGATCAGCTCCTTGAGCACCTTCTAGACGACAGAATCACAGAGGTAATCAGAATAGGCTCCAGGTCGAAGTCAGAGAGATTGCAAGACCTTAACCTGAGGGCCGTCGCAAAACTGTTCGGTCGGACAAAGTCGGAAAAGGCTGGTCTGTGGGGACTGGAGAATCGCATACGTGACTCTGTTCAGAGAACACGGCGTCTCATTAGACAATTGTCAGGATCCGATTTCTGGAGAACGGTCAAGACCTTTCTGGCCGAAATTTTCCCAACTTATCATCGGGAACTGTTCGGAATGGATGGTGACGGATGGCAGACGGTGATACACCAGCCAGAGAGGATCGTTGAGAAATGGCTCAATGCTGGAGCCACAACGCCAGCTCACCCACGAACGCCCGAAGCTCTAAATCGAGTTCGCCTCTCGCATATGACGCGCACCGAGCGTCGGTCGACCTACGACCAGTGGCTGAGAGCCATCAGAGATCCAATCATCACTCAGATAATCAGTTCGCACCGAGAATATGCCGAGATGATTGACGAGCGAGACCGTCTACGCAAGGACGTCGACCTGCGCTGCCTTCAAGAAGCTAACATTGTCGGCGTGACCACCACGGGTCTTGCGAGGAATCTTGGGCTTCTTCGGAAGTTGCGCTGCAAGGTTTTGCTTTGTGAGGAGGCAGGCGAGGTCCTTGAGGCTCACATCCTGACAGCGCTTCTTCCGTCAGTAGAGCAAGCCATTCTGATCGGAGACCACCTGCAACTTCGCCCACAAATCCAGAATTATGATCTGCAGAGCAGTAATCCCCGTGGCGAGCAGTACTCCCTGGATATGTCTCTGTTTGAGCGACTTGTGGAGCCACCCCATATGTCCGATTCACGACTTCCTTTCAGTGTCTTGGAAACGCAGAGACGAATGCATCCCTCGATTGCTGAGCTGGTCCGATCAACTCTCTATCCGTCCCTAAAAGATGCCGGAAAGGTCTCAACATACCCCGAGGTGGTAGGCATGAGAAAGCGGCTATTTTGGTTTCACCACGAACACCTCGAGACTGGCGCTGCCAGCCACGACCCGTTGAGCACGTCCCACTCAAACGAGTTTGAAATTGAAATGACGACTGCTTTAGTCTCGCATCTCGTCCGGCAGGGCGAGTATTCGAAAGAGGACATTGCGGTACTCACGCCGTATCTGGGTCAACTGCAGCGGCTTCGCCGTCGTATGGAGTCAATGTTTGAGATATGCCTGAACGACCGCGACCAGGAAGAGGTTGAAGCGGTTGAAGCGGTTGAAGGAGTAACTCAGCCGTCAGCTCAAGTGGCCAAGACAACTCTCCTCAAGAGCATCCGGATTGCAACCGTGGACAATTTCCAGGGTGAAGAGGCCAAAGTCATCATCATATGCCTTGTTCGCAGCAACCCGCAAAACAACTGTGGCTTCCTCCGCACGTCAAATCGCATCAACGTTCTTTTGTCGCGCGCCCAGCACGGCATGTATATCATTGGAAACGCGAACACCTACAGTAGCATTCCCATGTGGGCCGATGTTATTCGTACACTTCAAGCAGATGGGAACTTTGGCACAAGCCTCGAGCTCCAATGCCCTCGCCATTTGGACACTCCTCTTGCGGTTTCTGAGCCAGACCACTTTGTGCAGTTTGCCCCCGAGAGCGGCTGTAACCTGCCGTGTGATAAGAGGCTCGACTGTGGCCACTCCTGCAATGGGAGGTGCCATTCGGAAATTCTACACAACGCTGTCAAGTGCCTTGAGGATTGCCCACGTTCCAAGAAGGGCTGCAACCATCCCTGTCCGCTACGGTGTGGCGACGTGTGCCACCAGAAATGCCAGAAGCTCTTGGGTAACATTTGCCTCACACTTCCTTGCGGCCATTACGTCTCATCGGCCAAGTGCTGGGAGGTGCAGGATCCTGCTTCGATTCGATGCAAAGTTGTTGTCACGCGCACAGTCCTAGGATGTGGCCATGCAGTCAAGGTGCAATGCCACGAGAATGTGAGCGCCGCCAACTACCGTTGTTTCGTCAAGTGTGGTCACCTCCGTCCCTGTGGTCATAAGTGCACGAGGCTGTGCAATGATTGTCGTCCTCGGAAAGACGGCGAGATCACAGCTTCTAACCATGGCGCTTGCTCAACAAAGTGCGGCCGGAACTACACTGCATGCCGCCATACCTGCGGCAAGGTGTGTCATGATGGAGACTGCGCTCCTTGTGCTGAGCCATGTGAGGTGAAGTGTGGCCACTCAAAGTGCGCTAAGCGTTGCCATGAACCATGTTCACCATGCGCGGAGCAGACTTGCCACTCGAGCTGCCCTCATACCAAATGCACGATGCCATGCGCGGCTCCGTGCAACTGGGTGCCGTGCTCTAAACGCTGCTCAAAGGTACTGATCTGCGGCCATCAGTGTCCTTCGGTTTGCGGAGAGTCCTGTCCAAGCAAGGAGTATTGCCAGAATTGTGCCTCTACGGAGATCAAGTCCACTACTGTGGACTTTCTGGAGATGCGGGAGTACCACGAGATCGACCTGGACGAAGAACCATGTATCTTCCCCGACTGCGGCCATTTCTTGACAATTCAGTCAATGGACGGCCAGATGGACATTGGCACGCATTACGACCTGGACGAGAGTGGAATCCCGATCAAGATTCGCGGAGTCTCGGAGCCTTTCTCGACCGACTCCGCACTGGTCCGGGTATGCCCGAATTGTCGGGGCTCGCTTCGCAATATTTCGAGATATGGCCGCATTGTTCGTAGGGGGATGCTGGACGAGGCAACAAAACGGTTCATCGGCTGGTCGAATACCAAGTATCTCAGCCTGGCCGATCGCCTGGTCACCGAGCAAGGGAAACTGCAGAAAACGGCAACCAGCAAGGACAGGATATCTGCTAGCGCGGCAAAACGGCAGACACCCAAGAAGCAGACTTTTACTCTGCCGCGGCTTGGAAATCTCCACCAGTTCCAACTGATCGCTGGAGACAATGGACGATATGCATCGATGATGAAGGTCTGGGCCGAAATCAGCTCTTTTGCCAGCATGGTGCAGGAAGCAGAGCAGCCTTTTCAGCGAGTTGCCGATCTCGTTAAACATGCCAACCGCCTGAACAGAACGAATGAAGAGTTCCAATTCGATGAGTCGGTCATCCAGGTCAAGGGTCACCTTCTAGCAATGACGCTGCTGCTCAAGTGCGACGTGGCTGTTTTCTCCGATTTCTTCCATCTTCAATCAGAAGGGATGTTGCTGACATCCCAGAGACCAGAGATTGACTGGTCGATTTACACGACTGAGAGCGCAAAACTCATCGAGGCTGCGAGAGCCAACATGTTTCCGCGTGAGGAAGTGCAAGGTCACATCTTCGCCGCGCAAATGTCCACGTTCGAACGCTGCACCCGCTCGCAGCCTACGGCGGTATGGGACGAAGCCGAAGAAGAGAGTGACATGGAAGCGGCGGTACGCCTGAAGGACGTTGCTACAGACCATCTCAACCAGGCTCGCGCGTTGCTTCAGAAATACCCATCCACAGCCGTGCTGAGACAGGAGATAGAGAGCGCCGAGATCATGCTCAACGACTGGGTATTCTACAGCGAAGTCACGGAAGATGAGAAACGTGCCATATACCATGCCATGAGCAGCGAGTTCCGCGGAACGGGACATTGGTATACCTGCGTCAATGGGCACCCGTTTACAGTTGGCGAGTGCGGGATGCCGATGGAGCAGGCCCGCTGCTCGGAGTGTGGCGCGGCTGTTGGCGGCCAGAACCATGCACCAGCAGAGGGAGTGCGACATGCAAATGAGATTGAAGCGCTGGCGAGAGGTGTTGGGGGGCTGGGACTGTAAGCTGTCTCAGCCGGTCTAGAAGAACCGATTTATGACAAGTTGAGATATCTCAACGAGTACTTACTTGTGTTGTTTGTGTTATGTTGTTCTTCACTATAGTCGGATACTAGAGTTGCAGGTAATTGTGGGCGGAAGGATTTCTAACAAAGGAATATCGCGACAAACATGACTTGCACGATAGTCTGTCTAGGTGGTGGACATAACAGTGGGCTTGATCTCTGGCGGTTATTAGCCACACTAGTGTCGTGTTTCTATCTTGATTTGGGGTCTTATTGCGTATATCTACATCTTTCATTGCGTCTTCGTGTTATGCAATGTACGATCCAGGTCTAATTCATTTTCTGAGGTCTAGTCTATATTAACCCAAGCAAATTTGAAGCCGGGAGATGCTGACGCTGAACTTTGAGGTAGCGTATCCAAATACATATTATATTCCGTCTAGTTCAATGAGACTTTGCTCAAAAAGGGACTTCCACAGTTAAATCTCTCACAAAAGTAAAATGGCCCATACCGGTTAATTACCACGTACACATTAAAAGGTTAACACAGGCATAGACTGAGATAGTGGACTGGCATTAATTACTAGTATCTCGCGGCTAAGGCGTTCTTGAAGTTGAGCACTCACGGGCCGAGGGTTGGAGCGTTGGGTTATTCTCTCTACGATATATGATAAGTTAACTAACCCAGATTTGGCCAGGCCCTACATTTGGCCCATGCGCAAGCCACCATGCACTTACACCAAGGGTGATTGACCGATTTTTCTTCATCACACCGCAACTTCCTCAAAACAAGACCAAATTCTTCCATTTCTTGGTTAATCGAGAGCTCAATCAATCCTCTATTTACCATGCCTGAATACGACGAATTGGAGATGCTGACCGCGATGAAGTTTGTGCGAGACGGCGGCAGTGTGCGTCAGGCGGCAGCAAAATATTGTGTGCCGAGGAGTACACTTCGGCACCGGCTGGCCGGCACAAAAGCCCGTTGCATTGCGTTTGAACACATGCAGACTCTAGATAAGCCTGTGGAAGAGCGTTTGACCGAGTGGATCGTCATGCAGGGTGCCCTCGGCCTGCCTCCTACGCATGCGTAGGTTAGGGAATTCGCCCGCCGGCTGGCCCGGGAGCTCGGGAAGCCTGACGAGATCGGGGTGAAGTGGGTGCGGCATTTCATGGCCCGGAACCCGACCATTAGGACCCAGAGAGCACAGCGGATCGACTCGGTGCGCCTCAACGGAGCTACGAAAGCCGTGGCGGCCTGGTTCGAATACCTGGCCCTCCCGGTTATTCGGGGCATCAAGCCCGAGCACCGTTGGAATAAAGATGAGACAGGCATTCTTGAAGGCCAGGGTTCCAACGGCCAGGTCATAGAAAGCTCAGAAAACAAGTTGTTGATGAAGGAACAACCCGGATCTCGCAGCTGGACTACCTTCGTGGAATGTATCTCTGCAACTGGCCAGTCCCTACCTCCTGCGGTCATTATGAAAGGAAAGACCGTTCAACAACAACACTACCCAGAAAAGCTCAAATGCTTCGTTGGTTGGCACTTCACAAGCCAGGAAAAAGGCTGGATTGACGATGCAAGGGCATTGGAATGGCTTCAGAAGGTCTTCATTCCTAGGACCCGGCCAGCCAACGGAGAAAAACGACTACTTATTATTGACGGCCACGGCAGTCATACCACCAATGATTATATGTGGTCATGCTTCCAAAACAACATCTACCTTCTTTATTTACCTCCACACGCTTCTCATGTTCTTCAACCTCTCGATTTGACTGTCTTCTCAGTCCTGAAGAGGGCATACAGGAAGGAGCTCAATAGCAGGCCGACGTTATCGCACAGCACGGTTCTAGGGCGCCGGCTTATGTTGCTTTGTTATTTCAAAGCCCGGAAAACCGCATTTCAGCCCAGCAACTGCAAGGCAGGTTGGCATGCCGCCGGGTTGTGGCCTGTCAACAAGCAAAAGCCCCTGCGAAGCAAGTTGTTGCTAGAAAACAGGAACCAAGGCACCACAAATACAGCTTCACAGGCCCTGGAGGAAGCCAGGTCATTAGCTTACCTGCAGCAACAGGTATATGATAAATACGGCGTCTGGAAGACTCCTCAAAAGGTCACGGAGCTCACGGTCTCCCTGGCGAAATTGAACATACATTCGGCGGCTCGCCGCACTCGCCGTACGCTATTCAGGAAGATCGAAAAGGCATTCAACATCAAGGACTTCGAATTGGCTAAGCTACGACGTGAGAATGAAGCTCTCAAGGCCGAAATTGAGAACAAGAAAGGCAGCAAGAAGAAGAAGGTCCAATTGAGCCCGAATTCCAAGTTTGCTACGATTGAGGACATTCGCAAGGCACAGAGGGCAGCTGGGCGCGATATTGACAGTTCAGACGAACCAGAGGGCTCGGAAGATGAAGAAGAAGACGAAAGTTGCATTGTAATTAGTTGATTTGACCTTTTTCTATAGCTTCAAATGTCATGCGTTGCGTTGTGTAAGTGCGGGCGGCGCCCGGGCCAAAAGTGGGGCCTGGCCAAATCTGGGTAAGCTAACTTATGTGATGGTATCCGAGCCCTCGCTGAGCTCTCGCTGAGCCGGCTGACTATGGTCCGTGCCCCACCTTGCGCTCGCTGGCCTATCGTATTTTGGGATCTCCACACCAGGCCACCACACAAATGCAGCCTAGATCCCAGTCTCTCCATCCACTCAGCTGATTGCGCAGCTGAGTTGGGTCTAGTACGCTAGCGCTACAGCGCTTCCCAGTTAGACAGGCCGCTGTAACTAGGCTAGCTTGGCTGATCGAGCCGCTGTGGCCCCCTATTGACCAGCCTGCCCGCGGGCGTGCCAGCGAGTTGGCTGCTCGAATGCGTATAAGGCCTCTCGCTCGCTCCACGTCTGGCCGGCTAGCCGTAGAGCTAGCCAGCTTCCTGCGCATCTTATCGATCAATTGACCTCTTTTTAACTATGGCCCGCAAGCGACAGAGGGCGCCGGCGGCGCAGCCGGCTCCGGCTACGGCTCCGGCTGGCGGCCAGAGTGGGGATGTGATTACGGTTAGCGGCCTACCCCCTGTCCTAGGCTTGGGACGCGTGCAACGCGACGCACACAACAACGCAGAACTACGCGCCAACGCGCAAAGCATCCTCTCGGTAATCCACAATATGCGGCCAAAGAATACGACCTCTACGTACGAGCCAAAGCAGCGGGAATTCCAAAATTTCTGTAGGCTACAGCAGTATTACGATGGGGATACCGTCACAGAAGACAAGTTCCTTTACTTCCTCACCAAGAGCGTCACCAGCCGGCCGTTACGAGCCAAAAGCCGGAAGGCGGCCGTGGATACCCCACAAGAAGAGACACGGCTAGCCTGGCGATCGGTCCGTAGCTATATCACGGCAATTACGGATCTCTACCGCACGCAAAAGGCACGCGGTATGAACATCCACCCATCTCCACGCGAAGACAATGTCCGGGACTATCTCAAGTCCTTACAGCGGCGCGATGCCGAGCAGGCCAAGACCAGCTATGCGGATAAAGGTTCTGATACTCTGCTGGATGGCTATACGGAGCTGGAGTTCGAGACGATATGCCACGAACTGTGGGTACATACAGCCACCAGCAGGGTGGGCGGCGATATATTCGATACCCCTGTACAAATATTCGGCGAATGTGATACACTAAAACTTAGCGAGATGAGGGATGCTATTACGGGCACCATAGGGGGCAAAGCTGGCAGCAAAACGTAAAGGGAAAATACCCGCTATAGCTTAGCGCCAGCCCGCTAAGTTACAGTATTCATCTCACTAATTTTTACCGTTTACCCCACTAGAACTTCTGTCGATTTCAGCGAATCATGTTCGCCAAATATTCGTACAGGGGTGTCGAATATATCGCCGCCCACCCTGGCCCAAATTCGAAGTTTGCCTCGATAAAAGATATTCGGCGCGCGCAGAGGGTAGTGGGGCGCAATATTGACAGCTCTGACGAATCAGAAAGCTCGGAAGAAGAAGAAGAAGCCAAATGTTGTATAGTAATTAATTGATTTGGCGATATTTTACATGCTTCAATGTAGGGTGTCATTCATGTCAGTGGGCGGCTCAGCACGGGCCAAAAGTGGGCTGGGCCAAAATAGGCATGGTCAACTTACTTTATACTCGTAGCGATCGCTTAGGCGAGGCTATCGCCGCTATAGTCGTAAAGGATCCTCTTCAGCGAAAACAGGCGCGATCGAAGTACTCCTTGCGAGTCGACGAAGTGGCCGAAGAGCGCTAGCAACGCTGCCGAGGTCGGTGAGGTCTAGAGATCGAAAGAGAGGTGAATTTTCTGCTCGACCGCGGCCAACTCGCGCCTTAACCGCTCGAATTCTGCTAGATACCGTGCCTCAAGCCATCGCCGAATCGTCTTGCCTGACTCTGGCACCAACTGAGCTACTATATCTGGATTGAGTAGCTTCAAAAGCGACCGAAAAGACGCGTTTTCTATAGCTAAGAAAGGCACGTTGGCCGTAAGAATCTAATTGAGTAGTGCCTCTCTGATCTGATCCGCTATTGAAATAGGAATCGCGAGCCGCTCCGCCGCAACCACCTGAAGGTCTAGAATGGTCCTCTGCCTTTTAATAAGCGGCGCCTCGCCGTCGCCATCGCTCTCGAAGACCTTATGTTTATCGTGAGGGTACGCTTTGGAAGAAGAGGTCGCCGCAGCCGAATAGAGCCTCTTATAAAGAGCGCAGGCCCACCACGAATCCGCGTGTTTGTCGCCGTCGATCCGCGCCAGGAAAACGCAGTGTTTAGATATCTAAGAGGTACGTACGCGCGAGCGGTGTAACCAATTCTTAGGGACGTATTACTTGCCACGGTGCGTGATCTTCGGTAGGCGGCTGGCCTCGCGCGATAGGCCATCGACTTCAATATTCCCGATATCGCTGAGCTGGTCGACAATACTACGAGCACGGCGGAGCCTGGAAAAGGCGCTGTTTCCGATCGATTGCGTGGTGGTTGCATCGCTCGCTTGCGACTCGGCATCGGTAAGATCAATTGGCGTGGATCGCGCGCTCGAGGAGGCCATCGTTGAGCCTGCGGCTAACAGCATACAGGAACAGAGCACATTTTCCTTTGGCGCGGTACGAACGAAAGAGCTGGCATTTGATTACCAGGGTCATTTCTTGGAGGGCAAGGGTCTTCGGAGTTGTCCGGATCCTTACCATTTTGGCCCTGAAAATCCGACCAGGGAGACAAATCGGCAAATTCAAATCCGACCTCCGATTTGCCAAATTCAACGGTCCGTTTGATTTGGGTCACTCGACGATTTGATTGATTTATTCAAATCAGATTTGCTTTATGTCACGCGTTGTCCACTTCAAACAGAGAGCTGTGAAACAGGAGCCATGTTGCACCAACGAAGTGTCCGTTGTCTACACAGTCTTGCCCTGGAGTACTTCATGATGATACTCTTTCTTCGGAGACTGTGGCTCCTCGCCTTCATCCTGGCGGCATCGGTACATGCCGACACCTGCTTCGAGGATGCCAAAAACACCTCGATAGAGGTCTCTTTGGGTACCATGGATTGGCGCTTTGGAGCATCGGAAACTATGGAAGCCAAGCAGCTCCGCCCGATGATCGAGCCTCGAATTCAGATTTATATCAAACTACAGAAATTGACATCTGGAAGCAGGGATGAGAAGAGAGGAATCCATAACCCTACCAGGGGTAGTTCTTAATATTCCTCTTTTCTTGTCCAGTGCTAAGACGTGAACATGTCAGAACGCGATATCATCGTTTTTTTAACGTCAGCGCTAAATACAAGGCCAGAAAGCCTCCGGGTAGAACCTGCCCCTTGTTACCACGACGCCTCTCGAGATTCCAGAACTCATTGAAGACTGCCGAGTCCATAACCCCGCTCTTCTCATCGACGCTGACCTCTGTGGTGCGTGGTCTAACGATTGAACCTGTCAATGCTAGACCTAGAATGGAGGCTGTCAAAAGCCGTTGTGTGGCATGGATTATAAGCCATGCTTCTGTCCTGCTGCCCTAAGCTAGTGGGAAGGGGAAGATGACGGGGGCAGGGTGCGGCACTCTGGAGCGTAGTGCACTTTCTTCGTCTCAGCACCCTTGTTCTGCCTCGACGTCTTACTCCCGCTAGGCGTGGGCGAACTTGCAATAGCCATCCGCATAGGTCTCTGCGCAGGTCTAGCCCAGGTTGTATCTTATCCAGCCGTCAAGGCCTGACTTCAGGGCCTCGGCCTCCAGGTCTTGACATCGGGGGGATGCATTTCGTACACAGCCAGGTACATGCAGCGCCGACACCGGCCCATAAAGTCGAGATGGTTGCTGTCGAGAGCTATGCCGACCTCTTTCGAGTGTTCCACAATAACCCGCGATGAGCCGCTCGGAAATCTCGGATACTTTCTCTTCGTAACTTGGCAGCTGCCTCCTTCTTCCCTGAAGTCAACTTGCAAACCCTCTCTTCCACTAAGCCGTATGCCTCTCGGGCCTTCAAGCTAGGGCGATCGGCATTACCGAGACCGGCTGGTCCCTTTCCTGGTCGACCGCGGCTGCGCCAGTCCGCGATATTTGATTCGATCGGGCTAAAGTAGCTGTTGTACTCCCGCGACGCAGTCACGACCATGGGCCCTCCCTCCTCACCGACCTTGCCCTGGCAGACAAAGCGGGTGCTTGTATAAAATGGCTGATTTTTTTGCAGACATTTTCCGGCGTCGGTTGGAAGGAGGTGGGAATATGAAGGGCATCCCGTCCAGACTCGTCATGAATTCTTCTATTACCTCGGGTCAGATCTCACTTGCTCAGTCGGCGCCACGGTCAGGGGATCAAGAGCACGGATATAGATCAAAAACGACCGGTGCCACTGGTCAGTGCCAGGAAATACAGACTAACCTAGACTTTTGCACTTTTGTGCTATGATGCGGCAGGCCAGCTCCATGGTGCCCACCTGCGACACTCTCGGGAGTTCGCACGTTCTCCCCCCGCGGCTGTCTTTCTCTCTCTCTCTCTCTCCTCTTCAGTTTCCAAATCAGCAAATATACGGAGGCACTCCTTTCCCTAGAATCAGTGTTGTCAGGGTAAGAGTTCATGGTGCTATACTTGGCGCCCGTCATTCTGTCGCGGGAGCATTGTATTGAGTATAGGTGGTTAAGCTAGTTCTAAGGCACGCACAAGCCACCAGGGGCTTGGCTGACTGACTAGGGCAGTCGGAACTACCTAGGGCAGTTAGACATTGCCAACGTAGCCGACGTCGCTAACGCAGCCAGGGCACCCAGAATCACGTGTAGGATCCCGTGACTCCAGGTCTCCAAATTGGTAGTTCTAAAAGTCGTCACAGGAACAATGTGGCTCATACTAGTGGCTGATGTCTTGGTGCGTGGCGCATGCTGAGGGATAGGGTCAATACCACAGTACAAAATTAGTATCTTCCACTTGATCACCGCATGCCTGATAATGTACCTAATATAACAAATCTCTGTAATAATCTCTTCAAGCCCAGCTGAAGGGTGATATTGATATTCCTTTTGTTTTCTAGCTAGTTCTTCCTTTCCACCCCTCTACTATCTAGCTTCTCTCCTTTCTTTTTTAGATTGCCGTGTCTCGATGATAGCATTTGTGAAAGATGATAAAAGAGAAAAAAGGAAAAATATCAAAGTTAAGATGAGAATGCTAAAGCGAGCTTCAATGACTTCTTAACGCCCAGCGTTAAATCTATCTACACAGCATTGGGTTAGGAGCCTGCCTCTTCTTTTTCTTCGCTTTCGACCAGACGGTATCCACGGAAATTCTTGTGGTATGGGCACCCAGCCACACCACCGCATGACAACTTTGACACAGACCTGCGGCCATTTCTTTGAACCTGCCATTGATAGACCCAGCCGGGGGAAAAGGGGGGGGGGGGGGGGGGGGGGGTGGGGGGGTGTTGGAAAGGGCTCGGGGCGTCTGATGGAATACAATTGGTTATTCGTACTCCTTTCGCCCAAGCCAACCCCCCCTTTTCGTTTTGTTTTGTGTTACATCTCTTTTGTCCTTGAATGTTTTCCCCATGGTCTAGGCGCTGACGTGGGTATTTTTGCAGTACCCGACAGCCATGGTTTCGGCACAGGTGTGGCCCAGGTTGAACTTCACCCAGTTTCCACCCTTCGACCTTTGTGCGGCTTGCTCCTCGGATACGCACTTTGCGTGCATGTCGTAGTCTGCCGTGTACGTGCAGCGAGGGCACCGGCCCATGTGCACAAGGTTGGTGCCCCAGAGCGCCATGGCATGCTCCTTGGCATGGCTCCAATAGCCTTTGGAATGCTCGGTGCGGAATTTCCTGATACTTTGTTGTCGCAAGGCTACGGCGTCCGGACCAGACTTATTACCGATTAGTCTTTCGACTTCGTTATAATATTTCTCGGCAGTGTTTGTCGGCCCGACCACGTCGCTGTCGCTTACAGGCTTCTTGACGACACGAATGCGGTTTCGCAGAGCCTTGTTGGCCGCATCGAGCGACGGGATGTAGTTGGAGTACTCCAGCGAGGTTGTGACCACCATGGGGCCTCCGTTATTGCCGTCATTCTGACAAACGAAAACGACCGACGTGTAAAATGGCTCGTCCTTTGGCGTGGCCCTGTTAGGATGCTTGAAGGCCTTGCCATCTATCATCTTCGTGAAATCGTCTATATAAGGTACACGGTCCCAAGAGACGCAGTGGTTAGTTAGGTCTGCTTGCTCTTCCGACCCGGTGGAGGCGGGGGCCATGCCAGGGGGGTGCGAAGGATGGGGGATGGGTGTTCTGTGACATACCTAGTGACTTGCAGCCTTGAGCGACGATGCGGCAAGCCAGCTCCATGCAGCCGATGGCGGATATGTTTTGGTGGTCCTCGACGGCTAGCCGGTCTGCGGTTATGGTGGCTTGGGCTCCCCTGCTGGCGATCATCGTGGGATCCAAATGGGTGAGGTATTCCGTCGCAATCTCCGTGAGAACGGCTCTCGTCTCTTCAGGATTGGCAAACTGGATTTTCCTGTACTGTTCTACCTCGGCTTTGGCCATGCCGAGAATCTGTTCCCAGGTCGGCAACTTGTCCTTGAGCAAATCCCTCTCAACGGCCGGCCATAGCTGATTCCACTCTTCCCGGCACTTCTGCCAGGTTGGCGCGTCTCTTTTCTTGCCCTTCTTAGCGGCAATGTGTCCCTTGAATATCTGGAGCGCCTTCACCTTTATCATGGCTGACTCAAGTTCGGCATGGATTGTTTTTTCAGGCTCTTTGGGAAACCAGTTTCCCTTGAGGACCCCGTCGAGACTGTCGATGGCCGTGTCCAAGGTCTGCAATATTGGGTCTGTGAGTTTGACCAGATCGTGTATGACCTTTGCATCCTCCTCGGCTGCTGCTTGTGGCCACATCGTGCTCATACCTGCGAGTTGAGTGCGAATTTCGTTGCAATGCGCAGTAACCACCTCCATGACCTTGACCCTGTCGTCATATATTTTGATCTTGGCAGCAATGTGTTCCTGTACCAGGTGGATTGGAAGATTGAGGTGATACCGTGCCGTACGAACAAAATCATTTGCATCTAGCATGGCCGCCTGCATACGGGGCTCTTTGTAAATATCAGCGGGTACCGCGGTCTTCCCGCCCTGCTTGCCGAGTTCGGCTACGATATGTTCATAGAGGTCGTAGAGGGCGTGGCTGACCGTGTTGCAGATATAGTAAAGGTTATTTGATGCCTTGGATGCCAGAATCGCGCTGGTCAAGGGGAGGTTGGGGAGTTCGCTCTTTAGCTTCGCACTCTCAGCACCAAGCCCGTAGAGCCGAGGCGACTCCTGGACGACGTTGCCATTCGCGGATGCCCTTTGCGCGTGAAAAAGACGGTTAGTACAGCTTGGCGACGAGCATGATGGGTGACCGCGACCGAAAACCCCATGATAATACTCACATGGCGTATCTCTTTTGGTGGTGGTGCTTGTCTGTATGATCTCAGGGACCCGTACGAGGCGATGATGGTCTTCGGCCAATATGCACTGGTTTTGGAGAGAGCACGTGTGATGGGAAGGGGGAGGGAGAAGCAGGTGAGTTGACGATGTGGAAGACGAGACTGGCCATGATCGGAGGACGCGCAGTTTGATTTAATACATGGGGCCCATTGTGCCCTGAAGCCCACCAGGATGCTTGCCTCCTGTGCCTGACATGTTGGCTCGCAACAATCCACTAGCCACCACCACCCAGGCTCATGTGTTCTGAGATGAAGAGCGTGAGGCCCAGCCGGGAGATCAAACAAGGGACTCCACCCGTCTTGGAGAGAGGCAACTAATAGTCAAACCCGGGACGATGGCTCAGGGAGCGGCCCTGGGCCAGGCGTATCCCCCCGGGGGCAGGTGCGGCGGAGAAAGTGGCCGCTGATACCTTTCTAATGACCAACCGCCACTGAACCCGTATCAGCCATGACGGCGTGGCGAGTGGCTCGCGTATAAGGGTGATATCGGGGGGTCTTGATAGTGAAGAGTGGGGGAAAGGCACATGCACTAACATGCGACACTAAGTATAACACGAAACATGTCCAGTGGAGGAGGGAGAGGGAGGCGGCACAGGAGTGGAGGCGGCAAAGCTGGCTATAAACAGACCTGAGGGCAAGAAAATGCTTGTGTGAGGCGGCAAAGCTGGCTATAAATAGACCTGAAGGCAAGAAAATGCTTGGGTGAGGCGGCAAAACTGGCTATAAATAGACCTGAGGGCAAGAAAATGCTTGGGTGAGGCGGCGTATATTATCTCACGAAAGCCTGAGCCGTACGGCGCGGCGGCGCGGGGGTCCCGCAGAGACTCCAGCGCCGCAACCAACATGTTCGAGTCTGACTTGTCTTTGCATGTTGGCGACACGCCCCACATGGCGACATGGATCCAGTCCATAATGCCAAAAAAGGGGGTGTGATGGGCTCTGGCATCCAAGGTCTGGTATAAGACGGGGTCCTGTCTCTGCTCGCTTGATCTGACAGCTCTCATCACCCCAAGCAAGCTCTCAGAAGCAACCCGCTACTAGACAGACCAGAACAGACATTTGAATCAGGTCCAGCCGGTTTCGGAGAAGCGAAGCGTGTCACCTCGTCCCACGCACTCGGCTCGCCTGTCACCGGAATTTCTGACTCATCCCCCAATCCCGACTCTTTTGCGCATCTCTCAGCCACAAAATGGCTTCTGTCACTGCTCCCAAGAAGCCGTCTGCCCCGAAGGGAAGAGGCCGTCCGCCTGCTGAAATGGATTTCAAGGAATGGGTCCAACCTCTGCTCAAAAAGGGGGGGCTGCCCCTTCTCGGGTCAACATACAAGCCCACGCCAATTCATGGGTCAGGTGAAGACAAGCTAGTTCTGCACCACACACTCAACTTCCCTCATAAAACGGCCAAGGAGGGATTGTTCGCGCATCCAGCCTGGTACCTCTTCAAGCCTCGTGTCTCGAGCGGACGGAGCACGCCGGAATCAGAGAGAGAGAGACAGCAGGGAACGCTAAGCAGCTCGCCGCCCAAGATCAAGTCTTCCTCAGAGGACGGAAACAGACTGACCCAAACTCAAACGCGAACAAGCAACACCAGCTCGGGTCCCACCAGCTCGGGTCCCACCCTGCTAAAACAATCAACGGGACTGACGGGCGATACAAACGTGACAGTCCCGGATCGAGAACGCTCGGCTAGCCCACCGCCGACGTTGAACCAAGAGGCCGATATTGGTCTCCCATTGGGCCAGATTTATCGCGGCGAGACGCAACCGCATGCGACCAGCTACTATCTCGTCCTGGACGAGTACCAGCGTGTCTGGCTGTGGCGGCACAGCCCCGACAAAGAAGAAGAGAGCGACGAGTTCGATGGCGTGCTCAGCACCGACATGGATTCACATTTCAGGGCCACTATTTTGTGGCATGATCTTGACGAGTGGGCCAAGAAAGGATGCAAGGAAGTCGATAACGCCTCTTTCAGCTCACAGATCAGAGACCATGCCACTGTCTCCACCACCAACCTCGATCTCGTCCAGCTCGGCGAAAAACAGGTTGCCGATGCAAGGACCATTGGTTTGGAAGCGCACGCAAAGTATCAGATAGACATGGCAGCATACCTGGCTGCTCACAAGTAATGCTGATCAAGATGCTTCTCCCCTCATTCTGCATGCCCGTTGTCGCTGGTATAGACGATTTTCTCTTTTCTCCGGCCTTCTGGTTTTGGGTCATGGCAGGCCCATGTCTCTTGGTCTCGGGCAACGAAATAGGCAAGACCTGTTGAAAAGAGCGGGCACAAGATGGAAAAAAAAACAAGGGTTCGTCGACTTTCTTCTGGTTCACATTGGGGTTGCGTAAGGTAGGTAAGAGGTACTTTTGTGGGAGGGGGCGGGGTGAGATGGGGAAAAATTGGACTCATCTACCATTCAGTGTTGCCGGTCCAACAGATGAGATATGGGTCTTTTTATTTTCATAGGAGGCAGAAAGTAACAATGGCAGTGCCTGATTTGTCCTCCAAGAAAAAGGCAGGAGCCCAGAGGTGATCTTGCACGGGCTCAGATTTTTTATGTTTCCCACGAGGGACTAATAGGATTCTTGAACCCCACCGTACCAACCGGCGATCTGATCCCCTTGTGTGCCTGTAATGCAAAACCCAGCGAGCATGTCGCAAATACTTCTGGTGGCGGATTGGCTAGTACATATTGGATGCCTGTAAAACTTGGCTGTGGCTGGTATGGTGGGGTTGGCGAGGGAATTTCGCCCGCAACAGTGTCCTTTTCACCGGCTCCCACTAGACGTACACGTGTGTGCGCTTATGTAAGTGTGAGATTGCTTATGTAACTCTGAAAATGCATCTAACGCGGCCAATTTTTTCGCACCCCTTTTCCACCACAGCCAACCTATCGCCCACACTGCAGCCATGGCCACCTTTCCAGACGACTGCCTCCCTCCTGAGGGCTTTTTCGAGTCTCGACAGGCCCTATTCGAATCAATCAACGCGTACGCAAAGCCTCGGGGCTACGCTTTTGATTCGAATAGGGCCTGTCGAGACTCGAAAAAGCCCTCAGGAGGGAGGCAGTCGTCTGGAAAGGTGGCCATGGCTGCAGTGTGGGCGATAGGTTGGCTGTGGTGGAAAAGGGTGCGAAAAAATTGGCCGCGTTAGATGCATTTTCAGAGTTACATAAGCAATTTCACACTTACATAAGCGCACACACGTGTAGTGGGAGCCGGTGAAAAAAGTCGCTGACATCAGGGGGATGTCGAAGGTCGGTTTGTGTGGGAGGTTGCCCGACAACCCCGCCACCAGTCTTTGCCGCCGCCAACATCCCAAACGTGCGGCCAACAGGGTCTAATAATAACTTGATTAGCCCACTCAAATTCGTACATGAGCGCAAATGATTGGGTCTCGCCCCTGCTGGGCGGCTGATTTGCGGGACTGATTACTCCAAGTCGGGGCCGAAAGCGATCGCTACCTTTACCCCCAAATCCCAAATTCTTCCAACCCACAGTTTGCCCTGGCGGCATTACCCGCCACATTTCGCATTCGGTTTCGCGTGCGGCGGCGGTGGCGGGACCGGGATTTATTGACCAGTCAGTGTTGCCGGCTCAACCATTGTTCCTTTACATGACTGGACGGGTGGAAAACAAACTTTGCGCATGCACCTGCTGTATTCCATAAGTAAATATCGTGCCTCCCGTATTCGAATATAGCGCAAATGGACATCTAGAGCGGGTCTTAATGCAGAGACCGTTGCTTTTAGCAAAGAAGTTGAGCTGCGCATGGGCGTTCTGCAGGCCAATATTGCTGCGTAAATCGCCCGAGGAAAGGTGGGCGAGGAAAGGTGGGCGACGAAAGGTGCCCGGGCTTTGCCCTACCATTCTTTACTAAGGTTTCCGCCGCTGCCTGTTGGTTCCCGGTGGCCCACCTGCTTCGGGGGGGGGAGGGTGGAAGAAGGATTCCGCGATAACATATGCCCGGTTTGTTTCAACCGACCTTCCACGATTTATCGCCTTTCCAGCTATGAACAGGTATGCCGAATGCTTCCAGATCATCGGGCTATTGATGCGTACTAATATATCGACAAGAACGCGTTTTTTTTGAGCCGCCGCGATGGCTACGGTCGGGGCCCCTCCACAGCCCCCGCCGCCTCCGCCAAATCCAGGCGGAGGTGGTGGCCTTCCTCCCGACCGCTTGATCCTACCGATTGAGACCCCCGATGACGAGATTCCCGTCGATTACAAGAGATGCCGTGCTTGCAGGTTCGTCAAGCATCACCAGCACTTTGTTGCAAAGCCTGGTGGAAGAAGAAGAGGATTGACGGTTAATTGCGATACTTGCCGCGGTCTGAATGTTGGCGCGCATCGATCCAGTATTCGCGACCTCCTCTCGAACATGCCTGCCCTCGCCCCGCCCCTACCCCCGTTCTTCCCCGAGGTCAATCCCCCGCGCCGCCTGCCCTCGGAAGTCCTCAGCCTCGCAGCGGCTTTCAACGCCTTACCTCAATATTCCATCGGCGTGGTCAGGTTGAGGGTTATACACCCGAACAACAGGCGGCACATGACGACCGCCTTGACATACAGCGGCGTTATAGATCAGAGCGCCGGCAGGGACAAGTTCCCTCTGCAATGCCGCCGTCACAAGAGCTTCTCGCTCGCCCGCCGGGCGGTGATCCCGGAGGTAGTGATCCCGGAGATCCTTTTGTGGAGGACAACAACCGCCAGATGTGCCCGCGTTGTTAGTAGTATTCCTCCGAGGCTGAATTTAGGGGCCGTGATCACTACCGAGCCTGTGATGTAGAACTTCAATTAAGCATATCACCCTCGTAGTTAACTACCTTATAAAGCGACTATATGAGTGGGCCTAACACTCCTCGCCCTACGCCCTGCCGTTAGCGTGGTCCTGCTTTTGGTAGCCAGTACCGTCCCCGTATATCTCAATCTCCTATCGCCGAAGCTGCCGTACCTCTATTTCTAACGGAGGAAAACCCGGTCCTTAAAGACGACTTGGCGGTTGATTCCCTCCTCGTTACCGATCGTGAGCTTTTACAAGCCTTCCAGGCTCGCATCGACGGCGAGTCTTCCCTATAGCATTATCCCCGGTATCGCTACTCGTAGTACAACCTTCGTATTACCGGTGGTATATGTACGGGCTGTTACTACCGTAACGATAGAAAGCCCGACGATATGCCTAACTATTACAAACCACTCGACTGTTAGGGTCGTCTGTCCGTAAGGGAGCACGGGCTCCACAGAATGCTGGGGTTGGTAATTATGAAGATAGAACAAAGGGCAAGCTCCTATCGCACGGGTAATACAGTCAAATCGGAATGCCACTCAAAGTGTATGTATGAGTGCAGCGAATGTGTATTGCTTGCTTGGAGAACCAAGCAAGAGCTATCTAAGACCGGTGCCACGGTCGTCGTATATATCCATCCAAGGCGGACCAATCAGAGCGTTGGTCCTAGGTGATCAGTGCGCTCAGTGTCCCGGACCGCGCTCAGTCGAGACTAAGCGCACTAAGCGCCCCGAAGTGCCCTGAGCACCCCGATTGTCCCTTATTGGCTGCATTCGGACCCAGCGGGGAACCACCCCGCAGCCCTGCGTCGGCCAATGGCGGACTGCCCCGTGCAGCCCCCTGCACGCCTGAGCCAGGATCGTAACACTAACTTCTTTTCTACCGAGAATAATATGGACCTCGGTGACGTCCCGGATCACCTACCGAAGCTTATATAAGTTAAGGAGCAGCTTATTATACGCGTTTACGTCTTTCTAGATATTCGATTAGTTCGAGGTTAATAATACCGGTATAGTAAGTACTGCGTTAGCTTCTTACGTAATACTAGCTCCCTCTATAACTAGCTCCCTCGCCTCCCTCAGGAGCTCGACATCGTCATAGTACGGCCTCGCTAGTCAGAAAACAACAACGCACATTTAATCAGGAGCTTTCGTGCCGATTTCAGGGTTCGCCGTACTGCTATTGAGACTTGGTTACTATCACGGCTCAGTCAACGTAAGGAGACAGGGCTGCAGTAATCATCGCTGAATTCGTAGAATCTAAAGATGAAGAAGGAAGCTATGACGGGGACCGCGCAGGGCGCGGAGAAATGGGTAGTTGTGGGCCCAGCGCTGGCACCAATCCAAATATATTCAATTCAATTAAATAAGGAAATCCGTATTTGCAAATAAATAAGCCATTTTTGAGGTCAAATACAGGCCAAATTGAGGGCCCGGTTATTTGGCGTATTTGCAAATATTTCCATTGGTTAGGCCATTTTTAGGCCCAATTTTCCGGGTTTTCCTGGCGCCAGGGCAGTCCCTGACCAAGGCCAACCCTGCATTTTCTGGCCCCGGGAAAATCCTCGAATGCCCTGAATTCGAGTGCCGCCGTGCCGCTACAATGCAACTATCGCCAACCGTTGTAAACAAACTGCCGAATCCTACCGAATCCTACCTTCTTGCAGCGATTTCCCTACTTCCTTGGCTCCCGAGTCCTCGACAAAATGCCTGCCTCCACCGTTGATGTCGCGACCCTCTCGACAAGCCTCCCTACCGCCGGAAATCTTCCTCCCTCCCTTCCTCCGAAGCTATCACGACTATCGAGACAGCACGATGCGCTCCATGAAGAAGGAGTAGATGTCAAAGATCTTTCCGGGGTTCCAGTCAAGGATTGGCCGAAGATAAAAATACCAAGAGGGTCCTTTATACCGGAAAAGTGGGCGGGAAAAACACCAAAAAGGACATCGTGGATTCGTGATCACGGCTACTGGGTCGCCCAGATCATCAACAACGCTATCATCGAGGGAGAATATTTCTGGGCATGCCACTATTGCGAGAGCCTGTTCAAGGCGGATTCAACAAGCTCGGCGATTATACATCTGGAAAAAGAGCACGCAACATTCGCACCCAAGTCATCGTCTACTGGTATGAATAGGCCCGGAAAAAGGCAAGGCACGCTTCAAGTTGTCAATACAAAGCGCGCGAGGGTTGTTTTACTGCCTCACAAGCTCTCTTTGGAAGAAAAGCTCGTCGATCTAGTCGTCGGCTCGAACCTGCCTTTCAGCATCGTTGAGCATAAGGGATTTCGGGATTTTTGTATGGACCTGAATGCCGAGAAGACAGCTACCCTGATTCCTTCCTC